CTGACCCAGCACTTGGGTTGTAATTCCAGTTCTCTTGCTTGTCTAGCGCATCGTCTCGTACGAGGATGTTGTCTGGCTTCAGGTCGCCATGCACGAACCTGCTGGGGGTCAGCTGGGGGCAGGAGGGAGACAGTTCTCAGCTCACCCAGCGTCGTGCATGTGCTCTAGAGCTCGGAGGATCTCGATGGCGTAGAAGATGACGAGATGCTCCTCCATCTTCTTGCCTGCCTGCTCGAACCCCGTCAGCTGGTCCAGGAGGTGGGGTAGGAGGGAGGGAGAGGAGAAGTAGGGGAGAAGTAGGGGAGGGAGGGAGGGGAGCGGGAGAGGAGGGGAGAAGGGAGGGAAGGAGGGAGAAGGGAGGGAAGGAGGGAGAAGGGGCGTTTCTGACCTTGCGGTAGGCGTTGATTACATCCTGCAGGGAGACCTCCGAACGGAGGTCAGAGAGGAGGAGGGAGCAGCTGGGGTAGAGCAGGGCATGTCGGAAGTCGAGGAACGAGCTCCTTGCGTCCTCCGGCAGCCTCTGCTGGAGCGAGCGGGAGACGTAGAACTCCCAGGGAGGAGCATGTTGAAGGAGCTTGAGGACCAGGAGCGACTCGTCCTGGAGGTCCTCGGTGATGCTCTTGTCGAGATGAATCCTCCGGAGGGTGTAGACCTTGGACGATGAACCCTGCGAAGAAGTGAGGAGGGAGAGGAGGTAGAGGAGGAGGTGGTGTTGATGGAGATGAAGGGAAAGTAGCGGAGAACGGTACAGGATCAGCAAAGAGCGGAAGGGAGGAGGGAGGAGGAGGTTTACCTTCCCAATCATCTTCTCCACATGGAACGTGAAGTTTGCAAGCTCGAGCTTCGACCCAACTTTGACCGCAGGTACGCTCTCCTCCTCCTGCTGCTGGTAACCTTTCTCCCTCCTCATCAGCCCTTCCACGAGCCTCGTCCTCCTTGCCTGCTCCTTCTCGCTGTACACCTCCACTCTCCCACCCTCCCCTGCCAGCAGCTCCAGCTCCTCCTCCTGCTCTTCTTCCTTTGCAGGAGAAAGAGCACTTGAGAGAAGGGGAGCGGGAGACGAGGAGGAAAAGTGGAGGGAGGAGGAGCAGGAGGAGGAGGAGGAGGAAAATTGGAGGGAGGAGCCACGAGATTCCTTGAGCCTCGTCATGTTGCAGTCGCTGGCCTGTGAGACTTCAACTGAAACTTCTTCGATGGTGTTGAGATGCTGATGGAGCTGCGGGCTCGGCAGACCAGCACTCAGTCCTTCCTCCTCCTTCACCTCCTCCTCCTTCATCTCCTCATTCTCCTTGCCCTCCTCCTGCATCCCCCGCTTGACCTTGCCAGCCTCCTTCACCACCTCCTCCGCTCCAGACGCCTGCTCGCAGAGAACGCGGAGGCCTTTCCTCTTGGGAGCAACCTGCTTCTCCTCTACCTTGATCTCTTCCTCGTCCTTGAGCACTTCCAACCCCTTCATCGCCGTGTCCTCCCGGATCTCGAAGCCTGAGCTTGACGGCGCTATCCCCTTCATTGCCGTGTCCTCCCGGATCTCGAAGCCTGAGCTTGACGGCGCTATCCCCTTCATCGCCGTGTCCTCCCGGATCTCGAAGCCTGAGCTTGACGGCGCTATCCCCTTCATTGCCGTGTCCTCCCGGATCTCAAAGCCTGAGCTTGACGGCGCTATCCCCTTCATTGCCGTGTCCTCCCGGATCTCGAAGGCGAGGGAGGAGGGAGCAGCTGCAGAGGCGTGCTGGAACTCGAGTCCTCCTGCTGTGAACGTCTCGGTGGGGCTGGGAAGGAGGTTGAAGGCTTCCCTCGTGCTCCTCGTCGGCGTCGAGTGAGCCAACATGACCGGGCAGGAGGTGGCGGTGGGACTCGGCATGAGGTCGAACACCTGGAGTGGAACGTGAGGAGGGAGGGGAGAAAGGAAGTAGCCCAAGGGGGAGGGGGAGGATGAGGCGGAGGTGATGGTGGTGGAGGAGGAGGCACCTGATCTTGAGCTTTCTTGGTGTTGATAGTTGGGGATGCGTTGGAAGAAGCCTTGGCGAAGAACTCCTCCTGCATGAAGTTCTCCTCCTCCGCCTGTGCCTGCGCCTTGAAACTGATCGCTCCTCCCGTTTGCGTGGGGCTCGGCATCAGGTCGAAGGCCATCATCTGCGCGTTCTTGGTGTTAATGGTGGGCGACGAGGACGTTGCGGCCCTCTTGAAGAAGTCCGACTCGTCCAGCAACCCTCCAGCTCTTGCCCCAGCCTCGTCCTTCTCCACCCTGGTGACTGTGGGGCTGGGCATGAGGTCGAAGACCTGATGCCTTGCCTTCTTCGTGTTGACCGTCGGGGAGGACTCGCAGGCAACGAAGAAGTTGCCAGGGACTTTCTCCTTCCTCTCCCCGAAGCTCAGCTGCTCGGGAGCACAGTTCTCGTCGTTGCCCTGGGGGTGCTCGTGGAGGGTGAAGTTGACGTCCCCAGGAGGGCAGAGGGTGTGCCGGGAGCTGTTGGCCAGGAACGTCGAGGAGTTTGCGGCCTTGGAGATCATTGAGATATCGTTCCCTCCGAACTTGGTCAGGGTGGGAGGAGCGTGCTCGATCGACTCGTCCGGCCGTCCTTTGCAGGAGGGGACAGGAGTCTGCAGGCTCGAAGTCACCTTGTCTTCCTCCTCCTCCCTGCTGCTGGGTGTCGGCTGGAACCTCTTCCCTCCCTTGGGCGCAAAGCTCGAGAAGGTCGGAGACACTTGCGTCTGGTCTGGGATGCTCACGTGGAAGGCAGAGGATGGTGGGGAGAGTCCTCGGTTGTAGCCAAACTCAAGCTTCTCCTGCTCCTGCTCCTGTGCTGGGTCCTGCTCTTGCACTAGTTTCTTGACCTCTGGCACCTGTCGGGTCAAGTCGCCACTCCAGACTTTCTTCCCATACCTGCAGAACAGAATTACTCCTTCCTCCCAACTCCTCCTCCTCCTCTTCCGACCTGCCGATCACACGAGCTTCTTCGATGGAGATCTCTTCCCCGTCAGAGAGGACAAGCATCTGCCGGTCATAGCCCGACACCCCCGTCCCATCAGCGCTCTTCTGCCTCGGCTTCTTCCCCTGCTGACCTCCAGCATCCTCCCTGGCCCCTCCACGTGCGGATGCTGATCTATTTCTCGTGGAGGGGCCGTCGAAATGCTGCTGGGGCTCAGTTGGAACTTCGGGGCCGGACAGGAAGTCCAGGGGTCGTGCCTGCTGGGAGTCTTCCATAACCTTGAGCTTCCCCACCTTCCCCTCCAGCTGCTGCCTGATCGGCTCCCGTTCCTTCTTCTTGTCTGCCGCCTCCAGGCCCTCGTCGACGAAGAACTCGAAGTCTACCCCAGCCTTCTCCGGCGCTGCAGAGCCGGCGGCAGGCACGCTCGGCCGGGCCCTGTTCATCGGGATCACTCCAGCTGCCTCCTTGGTCCACTGAGTCGCAGCCCGAGTGTTTTCCTTGGTCTTCTCCTTCTCTGCTGGCAGGTACTCCCACCCTCCTCCGCTTTGCTGGCTCGTGGGAGCGCTGTTCTCAGAGTCCACGAAGATAGAAAACCCGCCCTTGTTCCCAGTTCCCTTCACCTGCGCTCCCCGCGAGGCTGCCGGTCTCCCCGACACTCCCAGGGTGCTTCCTGTTGCCTGCTGGGACGTGGCAACCTTGGTGACCCGGCGGCTCTTGCTGAGCTCATCGCCGAACTCACGAGCGTTGGCCTTGTCAGCTTGCTGGGGGGGAGGGATGACAGAGTTCTTCATTGCTTCCATGGTTCTCTGCAGAATGATCAAAGGAGGCAGGCAAGGAGGGACGAGCAAAAACCTGATTCATTCTGTGCTGAAATTGTTTGAGGGCTGCCTGGAGCTTGTCGAGAGGTTGAGCGCGCTTGTTGATTCCCTCCTCGAGCTTGGTGTAGGCTTCCGTGAAGTCGTTCTTCTTCAACTCGAGCACCAACGCCCATGACGTGTAAAAGAGAGCAAGTCCCTGTCCGATCCCATTCGCTTCAAGAAAGTTAAAGATGTCAGTCGGGTCTGCGACGGTGTCGACATATTTGATCCAGATTCGCAGGTATCTTGGGTCGTTCTTGTACCGTTCGTCTTTCTGAAACTTTCTGCAGCACCTTTGCAGAATCGGCACGACAAGATTGGAAACTTTGTCCGACGTGGCTTGCTGCTGGGCCCACTTGATGTACTCGTCCCATGTCGCAATGGGATCCTCAGGGCATTCGGTGTCGAGCTTTGCTTCCCATTCACGGCACCCTTCTTCGAATATCGAGACAGTGTTGGATGTGGGATTGCACTGTAGCGACTTGAGCTGTTTGGTTAGTTTCTTGACGTCTCTGCCTCCAACTAGTGGCTGGACGTTCTCCTTGCTACCTTCGATCTGAGGAGAGTCGTTAGATTGATCCCAATCAGCTCTTCACAAAACTTATGAATTCAAACAACCAATCTCATTTCACTTCCTCTCATGAAATTCACGGCATGATTGTAACGTCGGTTGTGAATCTAGCCACATGCTTGTGGCTTGCACTCAATCAACCTCACAATCATGTGTTGGTCCTCCAAGAACAACTTTTCTAGATGCTCATGTCCAGAGATTTCTTTCGTGCAAACAAAACTTGAATTTCCTCCGCTTCTCTCCTCCCACTCCTGCGTTCCTCTCTGTCTCCTCCTCTGTAATTTCTTCCCTCCTAATCTCTCTCATACACACTATCCTTTCTGTCCCATTCTCTCTCTCCTGCTTCCCGCCCTCCCACCATACCTGCTCAAACTCCATGGCAGCGTCCGTTGTCGTTCGAATAGGCGTGTTAAGAATTTAAAAACGCAGCGTTTTGATTTTTGGTGCAAGTCTGCCTCAGATAAAATGGTCCGAGCCATGGAGGCAGGGAGAATGTCGGCGGGAAGATCAGCGCTAGTGGTGGCACCGATGGCGAGACGGCCGTAATGCTATGGCTGTCTCGCCATCGCTACCATGGCGATCCATACAGCCATGGCGGTACGGGGAACTTGTCTGAGTCAGATCCCAGCTCAGAAACAACAGTTGTTGTGAACCATCAAGGGATCGACACTGGGGACAAGTAGTTTCTTCTAAGGGGTCCCTACATGGTTTGACTATCGACCACTACCGTCGGACAACCCATGATAAGGGTCGAGGAACGGCAAAGTTGTCAATGTCATGCAGGAAACAGCGACGACAGGGCCAGGTACTGCCTCCAGCTGCAGACATGACCCAAGTTCAGGTCAAACAGGGGAGGAAGCGGAGAGTATGGATGGGAAATGATAGGGCGAGGGCGAGGGAAGCAAATGAGCGAGCGCAGATTATTCTTGTCGCTACTAGGATTTCGCTATCTCTCGTTCCTCAAGTCTGTTGCACGCGAAGGTATGCACTTTTGACCTCGAAGGAGAAGTATCGGCTCCTGCTGTGCAGTTCATTCGAGGTGTATGCTACCCGTCGGACAACAATCTTCACGAACAAATGAACAATGTCTCTAGGTTCACATGTACGCTATACGCTGTAGCATATCATGATACATCAGTAAATTAGATTTCAAGAAACTAGTCGCCAGGCTTGTTCGACTGAGTGTATTCTCCGTTGATCACTTGTTCCATGATACCTTGTAGCTAGCCCCTGACATCTCGTTTACTTGACATTCACCCCGAGTTACTCTTTCGAGCATTCAACAATGTCTGCAACCGAGACAATGCTTTCTCGCACACATTTTTGTCTGTCTGCTGCGTCTCTTGATTTTGATCCTCGCCATCTTCGCTCATATAGTCCTCCTCCCCTTCTTCAGTGCTGTTGTAGTCAAGTTGATCACGAATACAATCGTACAGCTCCGGCAGGCCCTCCAAGTTCATCTTGGACCTCAATATCCCGAGCCTTTTCAAACATGTCGTGAAGAAGTCCAGGCACAAGGGGTGCCTCGGCAGCGACTGGTTCCTGAAGTGGAAGATTTGAATGTATGTGATAGTCTGAAGCAAATTGCACCAGTTCTGATGCACATTTTGCTGCCGAGGATTGCAAGTACAGTTGAGAGTGTCCAGGAGCCTTCGTTCGGCCCTGGCCACATCGTTGTACACGATGACGTCGATGTCGGAGAGGTGGTAGTGAGCTTGTGGGTTGTTGGGCTCAATACGGAGAGCACGATGGAGAATCTTCTCTGCAGACTGGAAGTCCGACAAGTTATTGAGGTAGATGGAGCCCAAGTCACAAAGAGCCTCAACCTGATCAAGTGGTCACATGTTAAACTTCTGCCTAGACTGGGAAGAAAGAGGAGACATACATGCTGAGGGTCTAGCTTCAGGGCTACTTCATACTCTTCTTTCGCTGCCAGCATGTTTTGATCGAACTCCTCCAAGCATTGGCCATGCACATAGTGCACGTGCGCAGACTGAGGACAAAGTGCGATCGCGTCTTGAGACAGGCGAAAGGCCTCGTGGAAGTCGTAGTCTAGTCCATCGACCTCCAGCTCCACCCTATCATGCTCATCCTTGAACCTTCGGCCCTGCTCTATCTCATCAGCAGAGCGTAAGAACGCCAGACTCGTGACCTCCATGAGAGCCAAGGCCAGGCTTGTCAAGACTTGCGGATCCAGGGGATCAAAGGAGAAAGCTACGAACAGAAGGTAAGAAAAAACTGAGAAAGAGAGGCTCAAGACCTACCTTGCTTGAAGTACTCGATAGCAGTTGCAACATCGTTCATCACCTGAAGGTGGCACGTTATGCCGCTCGTCATGAAGGATGAAAACGTTTACCAGCTTGTGAAAGCTCCCCATTGTGTGCAGCAATTCAACGTTGTACGGCTGAAGTCTGAAGGCTCTTAAGAGGTTCCGAAAAGCTCCCAGTTGATCGTTGTAATCCTTGTGGTGAAATAACGATCCTTTGAGCAGCAATACTTCAAAGCTTCCAGGTTTGATGCTTTCTGCCCTCTCCACCAGCTGACATATCTCAGAAATGTTCTTGGCCATGTGCAGAGACAAGCTGGCTTTGCTGCACAGTGTGTCTATGGATGATGGGTTCAGCATGAGCGCCCTATCGAATGCTGTTTGTGCCTCTTGTTCGCCGTTCTGGTAACGCAACGTAAGATGTCAATATCTACATGAAGAAGAAGACACCTTGCCCATGAGCAGGATGCCAAGATTATGCCAAACACTGGAGCGAGCGGGATTGAAGGCAATCGATTCTCTGAGCAGCTTCTCTGCCAGATCAAGATCTATCTTTTTGGTCTGGCAGAAATGAGCGAAATCAAATCTGATTCTGGCGCTCGTAAGATGATCGATAGTTCCATTCTGAGCAGCAATTTGCTCATTGTCAGTGACAATCGCAAGCTCAAACAGAGCTTCAGAGGTATCCCAAAACTCGGAGTCCTATCAAGAAAGTCAGACCTAGTTGTTGGGAAAGCGTTTAAATTCTTGCCATGGAGAGGAATTTTGCATATTCACACAATGCGCGAGAAGATTTCGGTGAATAATATATCGCAGACCGGTAGATTTCAAATACTTCAGCGAAACTTCCTATGAACGAAAGGTATTTTGCGCTCGCAAGACAATAATTGGTCCAATCCTTGTCAGAAAGAAGAAGAATCTGCGAACAAACGTCTCAGCGACCCATTGCAAAGCAGCAGTAGATTTCCTGATCTTTCATTTGCATCCCATCGATGATCTGCTTCAACCTAAAGATCTCCCATGCCCTATCTTCCTCATCCATACCCCCTCGCCGCACTTTTTCCAGAGAGCGTTCAAGCAATTTACATGCCTCTGCGCAATTCATCGCACTTACTCGGACCGGATCAATGCTCACTCCACCGTCATCTGAATCATCCTCTATGGGATCTTCTTCTCCTCTTACAAGCAAAGGATTCACAGCCTCAGAACTTGCTTTGACACCCTTGGTACTACCAAAACGTCTGGGAAAATTGTTGCGACAAATGGGATCATTCAACAAAGGCATCATGTTCGAATCAACATTTTTTTTCTGCGCCACTCGAACAGCAATGTCCCGTAGGGAGCAATGTGCAATCAAGCTGATGAATTGAGAGGGACTTATGTCATCGACTGTGACAGTCGCCATTTTCTCGGGGAGTTCAGTTGCAGGTACTTTCAATTCAAGAATGCTGTCTTTCGCTTTTCTCCTGAAGATTGGAGCAAAAACCTTGATCGCATCTTGAGAACCGTGCTTCTGTCACAAAAGACGTCATCACTCAACAGATCCATGTTACGACGTTACCAGGAGAAGCTGCATATTCCCTCTTTTCCAAGTCAGCAAAACAGAGTGTTCGAGCTTCGAACGTACATCCAGGCATCGAGTCCTCGACATACCTGTTGCTCCCTTTGCCTCCATCTCTATCCGCATCACTTCTTCTTTATCGCCGTCAGTCACACGAAAGTCGAACGTTCGAGGCTGGAACTGAGGCAGCGGAATGGGATTCAAATCACCGAGAATCGACTTGAGCGAAATCTCCCTCATCTGATCCAGCTGCACTGATACGTCGACGTGCTGGAAGTAAAGTTTGGTGGTGCCCAAGACTCCATGCTTCTTCATCTCAGCCCAGAAATCTAGTCTGGATGTGTACCTCGATATTCTCTGCGGAACACTGCTCACATCTTGGCTGCTCACAAGAGAAAGATGTGAATGATCAAAACTGGTCCCAAACAATCTTGACAAGAAGAGAACAAGGTCTCGAACTGCATTCAGGAAGAACCTTGCCTTGCCTTGGATCCAAGTCATCTCTATGAGGATATCCTCTTCTTCCTTGCCGCCTGTTGCCTCAGAGTCTATCAGTTTTCGAAGCAGGAACGTTTCATTCCTTCCCGCTTGCATGTAATGGATTTCAACCAGCAGCTTATCCAAACATCTTTGTCCGGGACTCTTCTCCTCCCCTTCTAGAGGATCCGAGTGATCCAACGATGAAACGCGAGCAGGATCAGACATCTCCTTGGCTCCAGGGTCAGAAGTGGACTCCACCCTCATGTCGTCCGAATCCCCCATCATGTCAGCGGCCTCAAACTCTGCTCCACTGTCGACTCCCTTGCGCGTGACTGAGAAGAAGCTTCGCTCTGTCAAAGTCTTGAGCTCTTCCAGAAGCTCTCTCGGATTGCTGGACGTCATTCTCAGAGACTTGCCGTTGTCAAGGCATCGAATCGCCACGTCTACCTCCTCGCAGGGCACTTGAAAGATCGAGGCCAAGAGGAATCTTAGATCTCCTGCTCCCTCGATGGGAGCTTCCATATCTCCTTCGAACCACTTCATCTTGCATCTTGCCTTGTTGTCGACGGTGAAAGAGATCCTGTTGTCTTTCTCTCCCTGGATTTGCACGGGAAACCAGAAATTCCCCTCCAGAAAGCTTCTGATGACTTTGTTTGCTGTCATCCCTTCTGATGCTTCGACATCAACTCTTTCTGTCATCGTCAACTCGGTTCTTGATGCAGGAAACGAGCAAGGTTCGATCCGATTCCGCTTCCTCCTCTGGTCGATCTCTGACCTGCGCTTTCTCCACACCGGATCGTTCCCAAGAGCTCGAGACTGATGCATCGAGGAATGACGATCGCCGACCTGACGAGATGGTATGGAAGAGGCATGAGGAGGAGGAGGAGGAGGAGGAGGAGGAGGAGGAGGAGGAGGAGGAGGAGAGTATATGGGAGCAGGTCCTAGTGAAAGCATGAAGGCGGCGAACAGTACGACCCCACCGCATCCTCTGCATCGCATCCCACAAACCAAACTTCTCTGGTGCGGGCCTGACTAAACACTGATAGCTCACTGAGTGAGCCTTTGCAGTGCCCCGCCGTCCGGGGCCGCCCGGCCAGTGACTCCAGAGTGTCACCGTGTCACTGGTCACGAGTCCCGGCGGGCGGGGCCCGGCCGCCCGGCCGGTGACTCACTGCACTTAAAGACTCGGCCAGGCCCGGCATAGCGACCGAGCCTTCGTTGGGGTGATGAACTGAGGGGGGGCAAAATCACGTTTATTCAATCCGATCTGCCAGTTTGACAACGATTTCTATCTCCTGTGAGGGTAATATGCAGGCTCAGACCTGACAGGATGAGTAAAATCCTTGTTGAGAAACAAAAAACATTAAACCTTTTCCTCTCCAAATCGATGACCTACATGTTGGTAAATGGATCAGTATACAGCAATTCTTTTCTCGCCGAACAACATTTCACCTCGCGGGGAGTGAAACCAGTGGGTGCCTCTGGCCTTCCGAATACATTGCTTCATATTCTGCGTCAATTATGCCATAAATCAACGCTCCCGACATCCACCTGTTTTTCACAAGGCTATTGGTTCTCTGCTTGTAATCACTCACAAGAGTGTTTTTGGTCTGATCCGAATATTGATCAGACTCGTTTGCAGGGTGCAATCAATCCTTACCCGTGGACTCTTGCGAGCAGGGTAATTTGATGTAGGGCGCACATCGACAAACTTGTTGCTCGAATTCTCCTACGTCAAAGTCACCATCCCCACAACCAGACTTCACATGCAGTGTACCAAATGTGAGAGAGGCTGCCTTGCATTTCCCTTCGAGATTTTGAAAGATAATGATCCACGAGAACGCTGTTCTCGAAATTTTCTTCAAAGGAGAAGACATTTGCAGGTTACAAGTTCACCTTGCTGAAGGAAGAGTGTTCAGATTTGTCCATCTCCGAATTGGTGTCCCTAAGGATTTGGAATTCATTCGATTTTCTTTTGTTCCCTTTGACTTCGATCAAGGATTTGGGAGAGTCTTCTGGATCAGATTGAGAAGAATTGGCAGGATTTTCGAAAAACTTATGCTTCGGTTTTGACGCAGCCACCGACTCTTCATCTTCACGGAATTCAGGAAGTTTGGCACGCAAGGGAAATACTCTGCGGATTTCCAACTTCATGAATTTCTCTTTCCTCCTGAATGTTGTCCATACAAAACTGTTCTCACTGATCAAGAGTCAGCATAGGCCACATGTCACAAGTTGTCTCAATAACTCACGGTCCTGTCAGCATCGCAGTTACTCTTTCAAGAGGCGCCGCAAAACAAGGCCTCCCTTCGATTTCATATAAGATATCTCCTGGAAGGACCTGTGCTCGCCTCTATCAGGGATTTCAACAAGCTGATACTGATCTCCTTACCCCCGCCATTGCTGCTGGACCATTCTGCACTAGCGAGTGAACTACCAAACCTCCGTTTGTGTCGTACGTGACTGATGCGAAAGTCAAAGTTGACACGCAAATAACAAGCAAAGCTTACAATTGATTCCTACTCCGCATTCTTTTGATCCATGCCTTATTGGTACGCAGCTTTCAAAGTCAGTGTAAATACTTTGAAACCACTCATTTATCATCTTGTTTCCTGCACAAACGTCAATCGTTGAGATCAGGTTTACAAGGAATCTAATCTATTCTTGTCATTCATTCGACAAAAAAATGTCACAGCTCTATCCCCAGTGAAAATTTCAATTACATCTTCTTCTATTGTCCTACGCTGTCTCCTTTTGTCTAACGGAGAAGGCGCTCCGCTCCTTCTCGATGACGTCGCTCGCGACCGACTTCCTGGGGCTCGGCTCGGCCTACTTCGACTCCTCCCTCAGCGTGCTGCATTGCCTTCCGCACCTTATTGTTCTAGCTCCTACCCTCCTGCCCTCCTGCCCTCCTGCCCTCCTTTCTGCCCTCCTCCCCTCCTCCCCTCCTCCCCTCCTCCCCTCCTTTCTCCCCTCCTCCTCTCCTGCCCTCCTGCCCTCCTGCCCTCCTGCCCTCCTGCCCTCCTTTCTCCCCTCCTCCTCTCCTGCCCTCCTCCCCTCCAGTCTGTCATTATCTTTCGTCTGAATCCCTTTCTTTGCACAACGGCATTCCTTCCACCACCCCCTTTGCCCTGTGCCAGGTCTTCACCCCCATTTTTCCTTCGATCAGACAGAAAAATCAGGGGGTGGGTGGAATTGGTACTTTTGACTAGCGGTTACGAGTACCCGTAACGGTTATGCCTCTTGAAGCGAAGATGGCGCTGTCAACGAGGGAGGCTCTGCTGCAGAGGATCAGGCGGTAGGGAGGAGGAGGAGGAAGACGCCTGAGAGTAGCCAAGCCTCTGCTACATCCGTTGGTCGACAGCAGGGTAGGAGCTGAACGGTCCTGTAACTGTGGGCCAGCCAGAGCAAAGGCTTGTTGTCCGTGGCTTTCACGTGCCCTGTTGGAACCATGCGGCGATTGAATGCTGTTGTAACTTTGAATGTCTTGATCATGTCTTTATTCTTTAAGCAATGTTATTGTTGGTTCGTTTCTGGAGATCTTTCTTGGAGAGTAGATCCCATGGATCCCTCTCTCGTTCATTTTTCGCTTGAAGTAGCATGGGAACGGGACACTTGGCGAAGCACGCTGAGCAAACAAACTGCGCAAGAACCAAATGTACAGGCTCTGAGAGATGAATGGCTTTCTTGCATCAACGGCGGGCCTGGTTCAATTTTGAATGTGACAGAAGGGTCCACGTCGGACGTGCGTCGATCAATCTACACGTGTATGTCAGAAAATTGCAAGTTGCAGACTAATGCGTCTCGTTTCAGCTTCATCATAATCAGGTTGGACGATAGACTAGTTTATTCAAAGTTAGCATTTTCCCACAGCTATCAATCTTCCGGGGAGTATCAAGCATTCTTTCAAGGTTGTTGCCGCAGTTCCCTGGTGTATAGTCAAGGCACAGACTGGCATGTCAGGACAACAGTTGTCATATCAGAAAATTCTTACCCTCAATCACCTTTTGCAGTCATTCCTCCTCTTCTCTCTCTCAATCCCGAATCTGATTACCAGCTGATCATTGATGAGAATTCTTCAGTCACGCTCACTCGTTACCCATTTCTACTCCCTGACGCCATAGGCAGCTCTGCTTCAGACTCCTATTCGCAGTCAACCATATTACAATACTACTCGTCTGGAGGCATCATGCTGAGTGATGACGGTAGAATCAGAGTTCTCACTCAGAATGCTTGCAACAAGTTTCCTTGTTTCTTGCAAATATCCCTAGAGGTGAACTCCCTTTCAGGAACTCGTGCCATTGATTTCATCATCCGTGTTTCACAAGACTCCCCTCTCAATGTCGGATACTCAGGATTCTTGGTAACTCGTCCTACCACTATATCAGATACAATCCTCTTTGATTGCTCCAAATCGCTGTTTTGGGATGGCGTCAACTCCAGTTTCCAAGTCTCTAAATGCATAAGCCCGTCAGATGCACATCTTTTTGAATGTGAGGGTTTCGTAGGAATCTGTCCTACTGCAGATGAAATCCTGTACATCAATCTCGACTCCCATCTCTATAGCAGGTGAATGACTTATTTCCCCCTCAGCTGGAAGTGAGTTGTTGTACAGGTGCGTTAGCTCGGATGCCTGCCCCTTGGGAACGAGCAGATTCTTTTGCAGGAGCAGCAAAATAGAGAGCAGTCTTCCCTTCGTCAGATTCATGTTTGCCAACAACTTCTCCAACTCTGCCATGTCCATCCTGCCCTTGGGCGACTTTTCTCTCAGCAAAAACTTGGTCTATCACGGATGCGCAAAGGAGAACTTGTTATCAGGAGATTGCAAGGGAGAGACAATTGTTGGACCAACCTCGCAGAGATATCTCGATGTTCAATGGAATGTGGGGTGTGAATTCTTCCCTAATGCGAGCGTTGTTTACTCGTTGTGTTTTATGGCTTCAGTGGGAGACTACCGATATTCAAGGCCTTCCTGTGTGTTTATTCGCAACACTTATAATATCAATCTACCGCAGCAAGCCGACCTTGTCCTTGGAGTGTCCTCTCTGAAGGATGGCCGATTCAATGTCGCCAATCCAGTTCCTTCGGTCGACAAGGTTTTCATCGTCGCACAACCCGTCGACTGTATCGCCAACGAGGTCTTTCCCTTCAACCCTCAACTAGCCCTGTACCACAAAGGACTAGTCAATGACGATATCAGCTCCGACCTCGTCTCTGTATCTTTGGGGCTGAACCCGTCAGGAGCTTCGCTGGAAGGGACCCTGGCTGTCCCTTTTAGGCACGGTGTAGCCTCGTTCACGGATCTGTTCGTCTCTAAGCCCGGAAGAGGCTTCACCCTCAAGTTTGCTTATAAGTTCCTGGACGGAGCTCTCGAGTCAACACGCTTCAACATCATGCCTCCTGTCGCCTCTGTCCAGTTTGTCAGCCAACCGACTGTGGAGGTACAGGCGGGAGTAGCCTTGAGTGAGGTAGTGGTCAAGGTGTTGGACCTCAACAGTGAATATGCTCTCTTGTCTCATCGGGAAGCTGGTGTCAATCTGACATGTTACAAGGAAAACAGCACACAGACTGTCGCGCCATGGTCAACTGACTCCTGCAGCTTGCTGGGGAAAACCACAGCTGAGGCCAGAGCTGGAGTCGTCAAGTTCACCGATCTGAAGCTCTTGCGAGTTGGGAAATATTCCTTACATTTCAGTATGCCATTGATTGGCGAGTTGAATTCAATCGTATTCAAAGTCACCTCTTCCTCGCCCCGCTCGATCTCTGTTCTGCAGCAACCCTGCGCTCTTCCTTGTACAGCTGGGCAGGGTGTAAACCAGGTAGCGCTGGACTCGTTCTTGACGGAAATTGCTCTGCTCGATGCCTACGAAAACTTCGTCGTCGACCTCAGCTACAGCGGGTTTGCCAACCTGACGCTTGAGGGATTTCCTAAGAAGCCCAATCAAGACCGTCTGCTGACTGGAAGCAAGGGTGTCCTACCATACTCCCGCAGTCCCGTCCGATTTCTCTTCAACGACCTGACCGTCAGCGAGCCAGGCTACTTTGCGGTCAAGTATTCCGTCTTGTACGAAGGGATTTCGTTGGAGAATTCATCCCTTGTGTTTGAAGTTGAATTCCCTGTGAATAGTTTGGTCTCAGACAAGGGGAATTCCAATACTTTCACTGCTGGGCCGATGTTCAATCCTCCTTTGGTTGTCAGGTTGGTCGACCTTCACGGGTTTCAGACCGCATCCAGGAGGTACGTGTCAGTCCATGTCAACTACTCCCTAGTGCGTTACGACTGCTCGTCGACATGCCGCATGCCGCAATCTTGTGATCCCTACAACCTGACCTGCGAGTCGGCTCCGTCGATGTTCGGGACAACCCACATCCTGTCTATCGGGGGAGTCGCTAGTTTCTTGGACCTCTCTTTCAGACGAGCGGGAATTGGTTATCTCGTTGTGTTCGAGGATGTCCTGCTAGGTTCCCAGCGTTCTCTCGCCATGAACATCACGGTCGCTCCGGGAGATCCAACACGCCTCGTCGTCTCTCGATTGCCCGCGTCCATCACAGATCAGCAGGTCGACGGCATCCAGACTGTCTTCATCGGGCTTCCTTTCGGCATCCAGCCCGTCGTTTCCCTGGTCGATGACTACGGCAATATCGTCAGGAGAGAAGAAGATGGTGAAATCTCAGTACAAGTCGAGTCTTGGAACACACAGGTGGCAGTGATGGGGGACACGGTTCGGAAAGTTGAGCAAGGCCAAGTGTTCTTCTCTCATTTGTTCTTGGAGACAACCCTCGACGTCCAAGATCCGTTTCAAGTCAGGCTTATCTTCACCTTCTCTAAAGATCCTATGATCTCCTCCAACGTCACCTTGAACGTCGCTCGTGGCGGTTTTGAGCTCTCGATCTTGCAGCCGTTGAGCTCGTCATACAGCAATCCTGCAGACATCAGAACCAGCGTCCAGCTCTCTTCCCAGCAGGAGGTCACGTTCTTCAGGGATCTCACAGGAAGCGTCAAGATCGGCGACGCTTGTCAAGATCCTCTCCCTCTTCCTCCCGTTCCCTGGAGGGTCTGGCAAGCAGAGCTGCGCGGAGTCGTCGTCCTCCATCAGCCCTTCATCCTCACGCTCTTCAGACCATCCTCCTTCTTGCTCAAGGCGACGGAGGTCGAGATTAAGCTCGTGGAAGGGAACGCGACTTGCAGCTCTCACGGGGAGGAGGGGCTGTTCTACACAGCAAGCGGGACGAAGCTCTTCTGCTCGTGTGAACCTTACTGCAGGGCTGGAGACGCAGTAGGAAGGGACTTGTTCTTACAGTTCACCCTGACGAGGCAGCCCTCGAGCAGTCTTGTCACTGTCTGCGCCAGTCATGACGGAGTGAACTACTCGGTCCCTGTTGTCTTGCACGAGAACGGCCTGTGGAAGCTCAGCCCTCAGGTCGTGGTCAAGGAGGAACACAACAGAAGCTCCTCTCCCCTTCGACCTGCGGCAGGGAGCGAGCAGATCTTGTGGTATGCGGGACGAAGTTTCGATGCTTGTAGAGGGTTCTGCAGGTACAAACTCGATCCCCGAGTTGCCTTCGTCTTGAGCTTGCCTTGGCGATGGACGGGCAACGGTTCATACTCCTGTCCCGACGATCCCGTCACGGGAGCTCCTTACAAGTGGGCTAGTCTTGAAGACTTGGAGCTGCTGAAGACGTTCTCGTTCGGAGGGAACCATTCCGCTGCTTTCACGTGCGATCAGTGTGGGAAGCAGACTGACGATCTGCTCCAGGAGAGGAGCCTCTTCCTTTTCTCTGACTCCTTCAGGAACTCCAAAGTGATTGACTACAACCAGCTCAGTCTCAAGTCCCTCCCTCTTCTACATCAAGACATTGCTGGTCTTGTCTGCATCGCAATGTTGCCCCAGTCCTCTCCCTCCTCTCCCGTTCCGACTGCTCCAGCACTGCCGATAAAGTCTCAACGGCTCGCTCTCTCCGTCTTGAAGCCCATGGACAAGGTCGGGAACGACGTACATGCGCCAGATGTCGAGTTCGTATTGGACCTTGACACTGAGGGGAGCGAAATTACCTTCGGCTGCCAAAAGATGGTCATCAAAGTTTCTCTCGTTGCTCAGCCCACCTCCTGGGTCCGGCTGGTCCCCCTGCCTTCCCAGCAAGACGAGTACGTGACCTGGGCGGCTACTTCCTCCCCTTCGTCGGTCAGCGAAGTCAACAAGGGGATGTACTCGTTCGCCTACACCTTCGGCAACAGGAAGGATTGGCAGCTCATGGACGCGAGAGTCTTCGATTGGAGCCAACCAGTGCACCACAACGTCACTGCCGGGCCTCAGTGCGATGACTGGCCTCTCAACAGTTCGATCTCGCTGGACTTCGTCCTGTTGAGCGATGACGTCTTTTTTTCTCAGCAGGTCTACAGTCTCAAGCTGAGGAGACAAGCGAACTCGGCCGACGAGGCTGCACGTTATGAACGAAGTCTGTCCGGAGACTACAACTTCGTTCCCGCGCCAGAACAGAACGTCACCTCTCCTCCAGCACCCACTCCAGCAGACAGACCGTTCTGCATCCGAGCTGGAGCGTTCTGGCCAACGGGAGGCTATCCTCCCGACTCGTCGACCTGCCAGGGAGGAGGGTTGCCGGCCTGTCAGACTGTCTGGTGTGGGACGAGGCTCCTAGACGTAAAGGCGGGAGGGCATCATACCTGCGCCCTTGACAGCTCGGGGAAGCTGATCTGCTGGGGCAGGAACAGTGCAGGACAGACGTCGATCCTCCCTGCTGTGCTTGAACACGGCTCAGTTGTCGACTTTGATCTCGGCCAGCAGCACACGTGCGCTGTGATGGAGGACGGCAAGCTCTTCTGCTGGGGAGAGAACGCCATGGGGCAAGCAACGGTCCCGAGCACAGCCTTGAGCTGGAGGAGGGTCTCAGCAGGAGCAGCGCACACTTGCAGCATCCTCGAGGACAGGACGGCCCTCTGCTGGGGAGACAATGCCTACCTACAAGCGTCTCCTCCAGCTGGGAAGATGTGGATCAAGATGTCGAGCGGATTCTTCCATTCCTGTGGGATAGAGGTAGGAGGGGCGGCACTGTGCTGGGGAGGGAAGGGATACGACGAGAACCAGGTGGACGTACCAGGAGGGAGCTCCTTGAAATGGTCAGACGTCTGTGCCGGTAGATCTCACTCGTGCGGCGTGCTGCTCAACGGGACTCTCCTCTGCTGGGGAGGGAACGAGTGGGGTCAGAGCAGCCCTCCTCGCCGTGACGGATGGCAGCAAGTATCTTGTGGCACTGCCCACACATGCGGCGTCGCCCTTGACGGCTCCATCTCCTGCTGGGGGAGCACGACGGACAACCGCCTGCTCGTCTCTCCTCGTGCAGATCTCAGGTGGTCCCGCGTCTCCGCCTCCTCCGAGCACTCGTGCGGCCTTCTTGTCTCCGGTGCCATCTCGTGCTGGGGAGCCCCGAGGGACAGCAAGCTCGCGGTCTCCGCAGCCGAGAAAGTTGCTATCCTGCCCTCGTGCCCGCTGGAGGGAGCGACGGGAGATTGCGAGAGAGCGAACACCAGCTTCATCAACATCTCCATCTCCTCCTCCACCCCGCGATGTGTCATCTTCTACTCGCTCAACGGATCGCAGCCCCAACTCTACAGCAGCCCCTTCATCGTCTACACCAACCTCTTCCTCAAGGCCTGGGTGCTCAGTGAGGACGATGAGCTGGCTGGGAGCTCCTCCGCCTTCGGGTTCACGTCCAGCCAGCTCAGGGTGTCTGTAGCTGATCCCACGGCGTTGCCTGCCCCAGCTCAGTACGAGCTGAGTGTGGGCGTCGCCCTGGTCGTGGAAGAGCTCGACGGGGCGCAAACTTTCTTCTCTCTGGACGGGAGCGATCCCCTGCTGGGCTCGAGGTACCTCGGTCCCATCCTTCTCAACTCCTCCATGGCGCAGCCGAGTGGGCAAGTCTTGCTGTCAGCCATCTCTACCAGGTCCGGAGCCTCTCCCAGCCCGAGGAAGGAGTTCCTCTACGTGCTAGCCTGCTCCCCAGCTCAGTTCAGCCCGGATCCTGACGGGCAGCTCCTGACTGCCGTCGACGAGCTGGGCGTGCTGGTGACGCTATCGAGTCAAACTCCCTTCGCTCGCATCTACTACAGGGTCTGCTCGACGACCTGCGGCGAGTTTGCGCTGTACTCCTCCCCCTTCCACCTGAACCACACCAACCTGACAGTAGAGACCTGGGTGGAGTCGGCAAACCTTCACAGATCCGTTGCAGTCAACAAGACCTTCACCATTCGCTTCCCACCGCCGACTGTAGCGATCTTCCCCCGACCCTTCGATCGTACAAACTTCCTGGGCCCCCTCTTTGTTCAGCTCTCCTGCTCTTTCGGAGCTGTGCCGAGGTACATCGTAGGAGCAGCTGGGGTTGTGCAGACATACAGCTCGGCGCTGGAGTTTCATCAGGACGTCATGTTGACAACCTTCTGCGCTTCTGATGACAAGGTCTACGACGCCAGCGAGAGCCGTTACAACACCTTCCATGTACACAAGCTGCAGCTGCTTCAGGCCAGCATCAGTGAGGAGACTAGGAAGCCAAAGTTTGACAACGTCCTGCACGTCAGGATTGTGACGACGATGCCGCTAACTGCCGGCACCAATGTCACTTTGACAAGCTTGCGATCAACGCAGCTCATCGAGACGGATAGTCTGCAAGTGATCTCGAGTGACTTTGTCTTGCTGCGGTCCTCACTGACGACGACAGCATGGGACGTTGTCGTAGGCCTTGCGCAGGCCCTTCCTCTCCCTTCCTACATCTTCGCCGTGTCCAACTCAAGACAGTGCGCAGAACGAGTTCCGTTCATCTCCACCAACAACGTGACGGTGGCTGATCTAAACAGGCCTCATTTCAACCTCAACTTCCTGCAGACGCTTCATGGGGGATGGAAGCAGACGGTGACTGTGGGGAGGGCCAGAGTGCTGGTGATCCACTATGTCTTCCATCAGAGGTGCACGCTGTGGGACAGGATCAGGGGGACGATCGATGGTTACAAGAACTGCAGGAAGGTGGAGTGGGTGATAGAGATGTACCCGGATGATCCTGCCCGCAAGAAGACTGAGACGAGGTCCGGGGACTACTTCTTCTCCCGCTTCCCCTTCTCCTCCGTGGACGTGGAGTGCTGCCTCAGTCAGAACGACGGGGCATGGGGGGCAGGCAATGGCTTCCACCCTATCACTGAAGTCTTCAACCGGTCGGCGTTCTGGGGTCAGGGAGTCTTCGGCGAGACAGACTCGTCCAGCGGCAACTGCGACACCGTCTACTTCGGGGGCGCGTACCCCCCGCAAACTTCAGCGTCCATCAGGAACGTCCTCGAGCTCACCAACGTGGTGGTCCAGACGGACTTCTCCCTGAGAGTGACCAACCCGCCTGCCCCCCAGCTGCCCCTTACCTCGACGGCGAAGATCTCAGGTATCTTCTCGGACGCCTTCGGGACGAGCCTGCAGGAGGTCTCGGCCGATGTGCAAGGGAGCGTGTTGGGCGCAAACTTGACACTCAACGTGGTGGGAGCGAGCGCGGAGTACACCAACCTGACCTCGTCGGCTGTTCTTGCGCTCTCAGTGCAGACAGACTGGGAAGTCCAGTCGTACTGTGAAGACGGATGCAATTTGACGGTCGTCTTGTTAGACCCGCCAGCCAGCAACGTCTCCGAGCTTCCATGGGGATCGTCTCAATTCCCGATCTCGGCTATCAGGCAGTTTGTCTGCGAAGGAGATAGGGACTGCAACATTGACATCGGCGGTTACCTGCCTCCCGGAGCAAAGCTGGATCACGCAAGCTTGAACGCTCGCGTCGTATGCTCTGACTTCAACGATCCCGGCGAGAGAGTCAAGTACATCATGATCGGCGGACTTCCCGTCCGGTCGTTTGTGACTGGTCCATGGGAGGGCTGCGCATCCTCTTGTATTCAGTCGAGAGATCTCTTGGTGCAGCACGATGTAAGCGCCTTCGATGGAGCGACGTTCTCCTTCTTCGCCTCTGTTTCCGATGAAGTCGATCTGTACTCGTGTCCGGACATGTCGTCCAGGTTCCGGATCTTGATCGATGTCAACGTCCAGTATCACTTCGTTATTCCCCTTCATCAGAACTCAGTCTCTGTGAACCTTCGTGCGGAGAATTTCCATGATGAATGTGTTGACATCCAACAGGACATACTCCCCTGGTCAGAGCACCTGCCACTGTCTTGCAACGACTACAAGACGTTCGGGTGGTGCGATGGGACAAGTTTCCTTTCCTTCATCGATCGGAACTATTCCTCGAACATCTCCCTGCCTTCAGACGTCTGCTGCGTGTGCGGAGGAGGATTGAGGTGGTGGATGAGGCTGACCCTGGTCTTGCCTCGTCATTTCTCCGACATGGCTGCCGTCCTGTTCAGATTGGAGAGACATGGAACTACAATAATCGAGAGCATGCGTCTAGGGATTGTTGGGTCCACTTTCAGGAACTTGTCTGGTGAGCTGACATCTCTAGTCAATAGCTCCAACATGACGTCTGACATGAGCAATTCGTCCAACAACACGAACAGACGACTCCTCTCTGAGGGTCCCATGACTGACGTGGCCACGAGCCCTCCCAACATGTGTGGACTTGTTGTGAGTATCAAAGCAGACCCGTCCAGACCGATGTTTCCTCTACAGGATGCTTGCAGCGATCGACTGTCGTATCAACGCACCGTATTGGGCAAGATAGAAAAAGCGTTCTACTCGTCGTTCAACTATTCTCTTCGTAGTTTTCATGTGGTCAGGTCGGACTTTCTTCAGTTCAGATTCGAGGTTGAGATCACGACAAGAAACCGAATCGACAGCATCTGCACTCAAGCCAAGTCATCAATCGACGTCCAGCCTGTCTGCCGTCAACTCGCCATCAACGGCTTCCCCTGCATCGCAGAGGTTGTCAACGTGAGCTCTATCGACCCCACAGTCGAGTGGACGCCAGAGTTCTCGATGACCTTCAGGACTTTCGGGGCCGTCGACATCGGGTCCTCGCTAGATGCGAACGTGCCCATGTTTCCCAGCTCGACGAGCCTCATCTTCACTCAAGGTTGGAATGAGAGTGAGATGGTGGAAGGAATGCTGGGCGTGGCGGTCTCTTCAGCTGGGGTTGCCAACTTTGACAACTTGACCATTCGCCGCTCTTGTCCCTTCTACTCGTTAGACTTCATCGTGAAAGTCGGGCGGCAGCTGACGTACCTCGAGTCACCAGTCTTCAAGGTCCTGAGTTCGGTTCCAAAGACGTTGGCCGTCAGCCCTGTCCCATCAGTGTCGACGCTTGGCTCCCCGACATGCTCGAACTCGTCCGACTGCAACTCGACTGTGGTGGCCGGATTTTACTTCTCAGTATCTGCCTACATCTTGGACAAGTACAACAACACTTGTGTAGACCAGGAGGGCAAACTCAGCATCAGGGCCGAGCTAGGGAGCTCCCTCTGCGAAGGAGGAGACTTTGAAGTCCGACAGGGCGTCTCCTTCCCCTTCTTGCGGATGTGCAGGGCGGCGAGCGAGTCAAGACTGCGGTACGAGGTTGCGGTGGCGAGCAGCATGTTGGAAGCTTTCTCTCAGACGTTTCAAGTCGTGCCCAGCACGCTGAGCTATATGAGACTAGAGCAGCAGATTCTTGACCTTCAGTATGCCGGCAGGGAGATCATACCGAGTCCCAAGGTTGCGATGTTTGATGGGTATGAGAACCTGATCTCTGACCCCTTGACCGTCTCCGCCAGCCTCGTCCTGTACCCACAGTCTCTCTTCCTCTCCTCCAACGGAACCGACTCAGCTGACTCCCCATCGATCGAGTACCCCAGGAGATCTTCAGCTGGACGAGTGGAGTTCCCCGGGCTCTACACGACCAAGGCGGCTCCCTACAACCTGCTGCAGTTCATGTGCGAGGGCGTGACTTTGACAACTGCCCCCTTCGAGGTGGTGCCCGCAAACATCCATGGTCCATCTGACGGCCAGCTGGAGTTGACGAGACCTCCCTCCAACGCGATCGAGAACCAGGCGTTCGTGGTGCAGCCGCTGGTCTTGGTGTTGGACAAGTTCGGAAACCTCGCAAGGACTTACAAGGGACAAATCGCCGTGTCAGTAGTCAACGCTGGCAACGAGACGATATCCTTGCTGGGGCGCACGGTGGAGGCAGCTATCGGCGGGGTCGCAACGTTTTCTGACCTTCTCATCGCAAGGAGAGCCGTCCTGTCCCTCAAGTTCACGTCGACGGAGGGGATGGAAGTGACCTCGGATGCTCTCAAGGTGGAGGGAAGACTCAGTGCGATGAAGGTGCTGCAACAACCTGCAGCAGAGGCAGACCTCGGGCTGTTGCTGCCTCACCCTGTGATCGGACTGTACGGCCCGGACGGCTGGCCTCTCGACGACTACCGAGGCTCGGTGTCTGTGAGAGTTGGTGTGAATATCTTCGAACAAGATCTTGAGGAAGACTGTACAATGGCAGGTTGCGCTTTGACGTTGAGGTACAGGAACTTCGTCGCGCCGCTAGACGAGCTTGAATTTGCTTTCATGGACATCAGCATCCTTGGGGCTGACTTTACGTACGATGGAGACATTGACAGGTTTGACATCAACGGAATTTCCTTTGTCGACCAGCTGAAGTCGATGGGCGGTCGCAAAGTTTGTGTGCCGAGGAGAAACGTCGATTGCTTCTCCTACTTCAGCTGTGTTCATCGGCTCAACGTGACGGAGCTTGCGAGAGAGAACTATCTCTACGTCGACCTGCACGTTACCATTACAAGTCCCAGTCGTTGTGACATCCCGTTGAAGTTCAGGTCATCACTCTACGGGAGTTACAGGATGCAAACCGCGAGTTCCTCTCAGAATTTTCTCTCTGGGGACCTTCAGCTCCCCGTGCTCGGTCGGACGGTTGCTTTCAGGAACATCTTTCTCAACAAACCAGGAGCAGGCTTCCGCCTGATTTTCGCGTCTGCCGACGGATCCGTCAGCACGGAGTCGAATGACGTCAACGTACACGCATGGCCGACTCAAGTGAGTTGAGAGAGGGTCGTCGGTTGTGGATGGCAAGATTGTCTGTTGTTGACATGAGCGATGGGTCTTCTCAATTGTTTCGATGTACTCCATGTCTGCCTGCCTGGCTGTCTCTCTGTCTCTCTGTCTGTCTAGTTTTGAACGAAGTTGCTGCCTCAAACCTTGTGAGTTTGCTTTTCTTCTGACTCGTTCTTCAGATTGTGTTTGACAAACTTCAACCGTCCGCGTTGGCTGCTGAACCTTTCCCGTGGCAACCCTCTATCTCAGCACTCGACCAGTTCGGAAATGTCGTGACTTCATACGAAGAGAAAGTTACAGTCGTATGGACCAACGATATCAGTTTCCACCCTCAGCCAACAGCAGTCATAACAGAAGCACAAACACAAGTGACGGCTGATTTCTTGAGAGGGAGAGCAAGCATTTTCAACATCACCGTCGGATCACCCGGCGTCTACTTTCTTGAAGCTATCAGCTGTTACACCACGGACAATCAGGAGTTCTGCATAAGGGGAAGGAGCCTCGCTGTTGAAATCCTCCCTGGAGTAGACAGACTTGTCGTTTCATCTCCCGCGCGCCACATTCAGGCAGGCGATTCCATGAGCTTCAATGTCCTGTTGATGAACAATGCGTCTGGCCTCCCCCGGCAGCTGGCCAGCTCCTCCCTTGTCGTTCTCTCGCTATACTCCGGCAACTGTCAACACGATCATGCTTGTCAGTTCCAGACAGTCTTGAGTAGAGCTCGAGCGATCAACGGCTCTGTGACCTTCTCAGGTGTCAGCATGCAGCAGGCGAACTCCAGCTGGACTCTGCAATTCTCGCTAGCGCACGCAAGCTCCGTGAACCACAACGTGACAGTGACCGTTGCTCCTTCCTCAGCGTCGCAGATTCACTTGAGCTGGACGAGGATGGACAAACTGTCTGCATTCTTGTTCCAAGTGACTCTCAAGGACAGGTTCTCTAACGTCGTCACGGCGTCCGACGTCCAGGTTTCAGCGATGGTGCGAGGGGCGATGACGTGTCACAGTTACCTCTATGACGACCTGTGCTGCTCAAGTTACGGTCGACTATCAACTCATGTCACCGAAAACGTCACCGTGCTGGGAGTTGCAAACTTCTACATCTCGTACGAGCAGGTTGCGCAGTACCCGTTTGTTGACGTGATACGGACGTTGAGCACCAGTGGAGATTGTGGATCTTACATCTCAAGTGAGAACAATGCATTGCAATGTCTCCTTGGAACATGTGCGAACAACTCCAGCAACGTTTCCTCCTCTCCTCCTTCGCCATCAACCTCCAACGCCTGCTTCTATCCGTGCATGTGTCAGAAGTGTCTTTCTATCACTTCTTGGAGCCTGCAGGAAGAGATGTTGTCAGATCCTAAGTATCGCATCGACATCATCGACCAGCCTCTGCAAGGATACAACCTGATCCCTTTCACGTCAAACTTTCGCGTCTCTGTCCGCAACTGCTTCCTCGACTTCTGCCTGAACGTCTCGGGCATGCACGTGACCGCGAAAGCTTTCCAAGAGGACGGTACGTCCATCACGATGGACGATCAGGTCAATCAGATCTCAGCCACAACAGCAAGTGATGGAGTCGCAACCTTCAATCAGGTCATGGTCAGGATCAGTCTCTGTACCATCGGCAAGGTCTTCTTCTCCTTCTCCGTCGAGGGAACGAACATCTCAGTGGTATCTCAGCCCATCACGGTCTACCAGCAGGAAAATTTCCCTCCGAACTTTATCAACCCTACTCCAGTCCTCTGCTCCGACGCTGATACCGTCCCCGCGTACTACCTCAAGGTTGGCTCTACCTTCATCTTGACTGTGAGCATGGAAGACAAGAATACTTTCCCCCTCAACAAGCTCCACCTTGACATCAACTTCACCTCGAGCTCTCGCCCACCAGATGTCTACATCACCGAGAACATGTTCTCGCTCCAGCTTGACGACCCCTTGATTTTCAACGAGCTTCAAGTTTGCGGCAGCTCAGTCACCATCTCCTCTGTGCCAACCCTCAACCAAAAGAATGTGGTCAGCAGGTCGTTAGTTTGGTCGTCCGTCTCCTGGTTCCCCAAGTTCCTCGTCTCTTATCAAGGTTCGGAGGTCGCTACCAACGCTTCTCTCCGGTCTCACGAAGTTCTACATCACACTTGCATTAGGACTGTGGAGATCAACGTCTGCGACAGGCCTCAGTTCGTCGACCCCTCCCCCTTGGACCCCAACGAAAGGTTCCTCGTCCTCGCTGACTCGCTCTTCGACTTCACCCTGGCGGCCATGGACAGGAACCATGAGGACAACGTCGACATCTTCCTCACCAGCGCCAACTCGGACTACATGGCAGACGTCGGGCCGCTGCTGCACGAGCTCCAGCAGGTGGTGTCGGGCAGAGAAGTTGTCAACCGCTACGTGGCCCGGCGGCGGTTCCGATGGAGAGTGCCGGCCGACGGGGTCGAGCGAGACTTTTGCTTCCGAGCTCGGGACAACCAGAGCACGTGCGACGAGGGGGGGGTGGGGCTGTGGTCGGAGAACTCCATCTGCTTGCGATGCGTGACGGACAGGACGTCGGTGTACAGCGTCTGCACTTCCTTCGTGCTGACGGACCAGCTGGACGAGAGGGTCCCGTTTCGAGTTTGCGGGGACTCGAAGATGACAGGTGGGGAGACGTGCGACGACGGGAACTATGTGGGAGGGGACGGCTGTAGCTCGTTGTGCACTGTGGAGGCCGGGTTTGTTGCGAACAGCGACGGGCACCCTCGGTACAAGTGTGGGGATGGGATGAGAGTGTACGGTGAAACGTGCGACGATGGGAACACGGTAGGAGGAGATGGTTGTAACTCGACGTGTCAGGAGGAGTTCGGGTACAGGTGCGTGAACACCTTCTACTCGGTGTGCTCGACCATCTGTGGGGACCGGGAGATCATCGGAAACGAGACATGCGAGACTAAGGACGGCTGCTCAGACGTGTGTACCATCGAGAGCGGATGGTACTGCCCGGAGAGCTGCAACGAGACGAACCCTGAGACAGAGAAGTCGTACTGCAGGGCAGGGTGTGAGCTGATCACGGTGTGCGGCGACCATCTTGTTCGAGGGAGGGAGGAGTGCGATGACGGGAACAGGATCAGCGGGGACGGCTGCAGCTCCAACTGCACCCTAGAAGCAAACTTCGTGTGCTCGGCCGACCTGACAAACTGCACCTCGATCTGCGGGGATGGGATCAAGACCATGATGGACGAGTGCGACGACGGGAACCTGCTCAACGGCGACGGATGCTCGGACAAGTGCACGATCGAGGAGCACTTCACTTGCATCGTCAGCGGCCAAAGGAGCGTCTGTAATGAGACATGTGGCGACGGGCTGTTGCTCTCCTACCAGGGCTACATCTCCCCGATGAATAACCTCAACGAGTGCGACGACGGGAATGCGGTCGACCACGATGGCTGCAGCTCGACCTGTCGGGTTGAGAGATCTCTCGGGTGGGAGTGCGACTCTGACCCCCTTGCTGCTGGGGATCAGCAGAGCCCTCGCTCGGTCTGCTCGGCCAAGTGCGGTGACGGGATCCGGACGTTGAAGGAGAGATGCGACGACAGCAACACTCGCAGCATGGACGGATGCAGCTCGAGCTGTCAGGAGGAGGTCGGCTTCTACTGTGCGCAAGGAGGGAGAGGGGCGTTTGCGAACATGACCATCACACCTGGAAGCTGTCTGAACGTGATCGCGACGGGGACTTGCTGCTTGTCAAATTCTGCAAGTGTGTGGACGTGCGTTGAGGGCGGTGATGTGTGCCTGAATACAACGGCGATCTGCCTGTCTGGAGTTTGCAACCCCACCTATGGAAACTCCGAGAAGATTTGCGGCCTGATCTACACAGACGTGCTGTCTCCTTCAGAAGCGTTCTTTCAGTCAGCCAACATCTCCCTTGTCGACCTTCCTGACGATGACAAGTGCAAGAGCGTATGCGGGGACGGAGTGCGGTCCTCATCGGAACAGTGCGATGACAACAACACAATCTCCGGTGACGGCTGCTCAGACATGTGCGCGGTCGAGGTGGGATGGATCTGCATACAAGCTGACGGAGGATACAAGGACGAGTGTTCACCCTTGTGCGGGGACGGGGTGAGAGTGTCAGGCTACGAGGAGTGCGATGACGGGATGTGGAGTGACCCGGCGGGCGACGGATGCACGTCAGAATGCAAGCTCGAGCAGGGCTTCGTGTGCTTGTACGACGATCACGATCGGTTGCTCGGAGGAAGGTGCGAGGCTGTCTGCGGTGATGGCGTGCGAGTCCAGCAGGAGGACTGTGATGATGGCAACACTCGCGATGGAGACGGATGTAGCTCCTCCTGTCTGGTGGAGAGCGGCTGGATCTGCGCGGACAACCTGCACGTCACCAACCACACGACCAGCCTCTGCTACGGGATCTGCGCTGATGGCGTTCGAGTTGCAGCTGAGCAGTGTGATGACGGGAACACCAAGTCAGGCGACGGATGCGACCAGTTCTGCAGGCTGGAGAGCGGGTATGTGTGTGCTGACAACGGACTGTGCAGCACCAACTGTGGGGACGGGATCATAGCAGGGAAGGAGGCTTGTGATGACATGAATAACATCAACGGCGATGGCTGTAACGCTCAGTGTCTGATAGAAGCTGGCTTCCAGTGCATTGCGGCTGATTGCTACATGACACCCTCGGGAGGCTCCTGTAGGGTTCAGCCGCAAGGGAAGGGCTCCTACTGCGAGGTCTGCCCTCCGATCCGCTTCACAGGCGCTCAGTGCTCGGACCCTCCTTGCAACCCTGTCGGGCTCACGCAGACCTGTGCGGACTGGAGGTTCAAGCAGGATGGGACGTGGGAGCAAGACAAGCAGCTCTCCTCCTCCTTCATCGCCGTCCCCTGCCGTGCTGACTGGTACGCCGACGGCTACTGCGACGCTGTCAACAACAACCCCGAGTGCGGGTTTGACAGCGGCGACTGCTGCGTTTCAACGTGCTCTTGCGGCGTGTCTACCGTCTGCTACCAGGGTGACAACGGAGGATGCGGGAAGTTCCGAGACAGGGTGGGAGACTTCCACTGCCTCGACCCCTCGACGCCTGTAGCTCCTTCACCAAGGATCGTGCTGCGGGGTACGCGGTCATCGAGCAAGACCTTGCTGGAGTACTTGACGTTCGTCGAGGTCACCTTTGAGACAGTCGACCCTGACATCGTCGTCTTCTTCTCCTTGGACGGAACCACTCCGGCGTTCGAGACCTTCTCCAGCCTCGAGGTTTCTGGACTGACTTACACTGGCCCTTTCAACGTCACACAGAACGCTCAAGTGGTCGCCACGTCGTACAAGTGGGGTTACCGTCTCAACGAGACGCAGCAGCTACTGTACGTTCAGTCCGTCCCTCCAGTCATCTCTCCTCTCTACACGTCTCGGAAGTACTTCATCTCCCCGCTCCTCGTCACCATCGAGTCCTTTTCTCCCGATGCTGAGATCAGGTATCGCGTCGAGCTCGACGGTCAATTTGCCACGTCGACCTCTCAGCCCTTCCTCGTCTATCAAGCTCCCATCCGCCTCGTGCAGTCTGGCAACGTCACTGCTTACGTCACCATCCCCGGTTCCAACCCGAGTCAGGTCGTGCAGGCCACTTACAACCTCCAGGTCAGCCCCCCAGAGGTCACCCCAGCTCAAGGGCTCTACATAGACGCTGTCAGCCTCTCCCTGCAGAGTTTGACCCCAGACGCTCAGACGTACTTCACCCTATGCAAGTTTGACGAGTTTCCTTCCCTGCGAACGATCTCGATAGGCGAGGAGCTGCAAATCCCAGCTGACGCCTGCTACCCTTCTTGCCTCGGAAAGTGCGTCGGGGGCCTCGTGAGCGGAGTGGCGTGCGAAGGAGAATTTGACAACGTGACATGCGGGGAGAACTCAACCTGTGTGGTGACTTACAGGGATGTGCGAGAGTGTTACGCAAACGAGTGGCCCGCAAGGGCAACTCTCTTCACTAGCAACGTCATCCTCAACTCTTCCATCGGCTGGGGATCCAGGACTTTCCTAACGGCATACTCTCAGTCCGGCACACTGGCTGACAGCAACGTCACCGTTGCCTACTACAGGTTGCAGACGGAAAGTCCCGTGCTAGTCACCGACCCTGCCAACTCGACCTTCCTCAACGGAGCTTTCATCTCCCCAGTCCAGTTCAACTTCTCCGTCTCCTTCGACACCGTCAAAGTCTTCTACACTCTTGACGGGTCTAATCCCTTCCTCAAGGGAACTTGGTTGCGTCAAGGGCAGACAGTGACAGTTACGAAGACCGTAAACGTTTCCTGGTGTGCTGTCGCTCCAAACCTCGAGAACTCTACGATCAGCCATAGCCTCATCGTCATTCAGGAGGTATCTCCCACGCTACAAGTCATCTGCAACACGGAGGCCATGGACTGCAAGACCAATCTACTCCCGTTTGACGTCACCGATGGGTTTCAGTACCCGACTGTCTTCAACGTTGGAGTCTGTCCGTCCAACCCTACCTTTCGAATCATACCTTCCTCCCCGTCCTCTTTGACCTACTACAGGGTAACGACTGGCGCCGCTGGCTGGCCCGCAGTCTCCTACAGCACCGGGAGCACCTCGACGCCCGTCTACAACAGCACTAGCTGGATCCTTTACACCGATCAGCAGTTGACCCTCTCTGAGAACTCAACAGTCGAGATGTTCACCGCCAATGTCGGTGTAAGCAACAGCTTCATCGCTTCATATCCTCTCTACATCCGCTCGCTCTGCCCCCTCGGCTACATCAGCCCTGACCAGTACAGTCCTTGCACCCCCTGTCCTCAGGACACGTTCCAGTACTGCGCCCAGTCGTCCGGGGACTGCAGGTCAGACTGCAGCTGCTTGAACTGCCCGGTGGGGAGGGGAACTGCTGGGATAGGAGCCAGCGTTCAAGACATGTGCTTCGATTTCTGCCCCACGGGGACTTACAGCAAGACAGGCCTGAGTCTCGGCTCCCAAGACCTGTGCCTGCAGTGTGACTACGGGAAGTACCAGGATCAGACGAGGTCAACGGGCTGCGTGAGCTGCCCGTTGGGAACCAATACCAGCACAAGAGGCTCTTCGTCAATCAGCGACTGCTGGAGCTCCTTCGGGTTGAGCACAGGCGGCTTTCACACATGCGGCATCACGACGGGGGGATGGGCGGAGTGCTGGGGGTTCGACGACTTCGGGTAAGCCCTCCTCCTCTCCCGCTGCCTCGACTTGTTGCTGACTGATCACTTTCCGCAGGCAAACGTCCGTCATACACGATGAGCAGACGATCGAGGAGTTCGGAGTAGCCCTGCAGGTTCGCAAGAACATAACGTGGAACCATATCTCAGCTGGGAGCTTCTTCACCTGCGGCATCGCCAGCAACTTCTCAGCTTACTGCTGGGGCCAGGACTACGCGCAGCAAACCAAGGTCCCGATCGTGTTCAACACGACCATGAGGTGGACCGCCATCTCCAGCTCAGCTGGCTACCACCACTCGTGCGGGATCATGAACGAGCTGGCACTCTGCTGGGGCGACGACTCGTACAAGCAGAGCTCTCCTCCCCCAGGCAGGACGTGGAAGCAGATCTCAGCTGGGCAGTTCCACTCGTGCGGCGTGACGACCGACGGGGAGGCCCTGTGCTGGGGTGACAACCTCTACGGCCAGTCCGCGGTCCCGCCTCAGACAGGCTCCGTCAGCTGGAGGATGACGTCAGCTGGGCACTACCACTCCTGCGGCATCCTCGCGAGCGGTCAAGCGCTCTGCTGGGGGTCGACCATGTACGGCGCCACCGCCGTCCCCAAAGACGTGTCCTCATGGAGCAACCTGGCGGTCGGTCGCTTCCACACTTGCGGCGTCTCCTCGTCGGGAGCTCTCCGCTGCTGGGGATCGAACCAGGACGGGGCTCTCGGCTACCCCCAGGTGAGTGGGAGGCGGCTGACGCTTGCCGAGTTTGACAAGCTGTTGACAGGATGTACCCTCCTGGCGAGGCGTCGTGTCAGGGCTGTTCCACTCCTGCGGCATCGGGCTGGACTATCGGGCGCACTGCTGGGGCAGGAGCGTGTACGGCATGACCAACCCGCCGGACTACACCTGGGTGTCAACGTAGAGCTGAGAACGACGTGGGGTCAAGGAGGGAGGCGAGCTGAGAGGTACAGGCAGAGGGGAGGCGGTGAAATCAGAGACTGCTGCCGTTGAATCTGATGTCAAATCGATGATTGACCAGCTCGTGTTTGTTCTCACTCTTGTGTTAGTTCACCTTTCTTTCTACCCACCAGCAGACCACATCCCCCCTCGAGTCCAACGTCACCAGCTCCATCCTCCTCCCCTCCCTTCCAGGCGTCGCCGGTACCGAAGGCTGCGAGGAGGAGAAACGTCAGAGGAAGGTTTCAACCGAGCGATTGACAGCACGAAGTCAAGAGATGGGTCATGGCAACGACCAACACACATCGACAGACAGACTGACATTCTCTGTTGCCTCCGAGTCGATGACGCTGCTGCCGTCCTGATCGTAGAAGATCGCGATAGGGAGGATACGGGTCGTATGCTGCAGCAGTCATGTCAGGAACCGCACCAGAGGAAACCACACAGACGTGAAGCCTCTCCACCGCGATCCGATGTCCGCTCCTGTTATGCCAGACTTCAAGTATTCGTCTCCTTCATAACGCACTCGTCAACTCGTTCCATGTTGCCATCTCCAAGTTCTCTCACCTCGGCGCGTACAAGAACAAGCACAGGTCGCCAGCCTTCACGCTGAGCCCTTGATCTGCCGACTCCTCTGTGGCAGCTGCTGGCGATGACGACATTAATCCCTCCCACCATCATGCCCTTCAATGCTCACGAGTCTTTGACGTTTCCCTTTCCGATGTCAAGGAGGAGGTAGAAGACTCCGCATGCCTGACGTCGTCTCTCTCGCCCCCGTCCACCAAACACGTCCAGGCCGTCTGAGCCTCACGATACCCCTGACAGAGAGATCAGACGAGTTGCCAGCAGGCTTGAGGGGCTGACCTTCCACACCCTCAAGATCGTCATCTCCTCAACATCCACCAAGAGCACCTGATCCTCCACCATGAGCCTCAAGTCAACAGAACGGCACCACCAACCCGTCCGAGGTTGTCACTAGCCGCGCACAATCGACCCGACGGATCAAGAAACAAGCTTCTGACGGTTCTCTGCACATTTCAAACCGTCATTGCGATCTTCGTCAAGACTTGGGAAGCAGCACCTTAGGATCCTCGAAGGCATCGAACGCTCGAGCACTCTTTGCAAAGTTGCTCTCGTCCTTGCTCACTTCTTTCTTCTCCTCGTTGCTGGAACTCCCCCACAGCAAGTTCTTCGCTACCGAGAAGGCAGCTGACGTCAACTTGGACAGCACCTCCTTCGCACTGTACGAGTTCTCTGCAGCCACGTGAGCCGCCGACAAGTATGCCATTCAGACTTCACTTTCATCGCATGCCGCATACACAGACAGACACGGCGAGTGGCCAGCAACCAGGACCTTGTAGTAGAGAGCTCCCCAGAAGTCGGAAGTCTGTGCCTGAACAACTGTCAACCCCCTCAACATCCCTTGATGTTCACCTGTGCGTCGAGGCCGCAGCAGACGGCATCGTTTACCGAGGATCGATCTGTAAATTTCCACTTGCAGGCATCGAGCCGTCCCTGGAGGACCGGATCTCAACTTGGAGGGAGCGAGTGGAGGGGGGGGGGAGGGGAAGGGACCTGGGCAACAAGGAGGTGGCGGAGGGGAGAAGGAAGAGGCCCACCGACTGATTGATGAAGGTGGAGATGAGGGAGGAGGCGTCAAGACGGACGATGATGTTGTCGCTGTAGATGATGAGAAAGTCTTGCGTGCAGTCCATGGTTGTTTCCCCTTGCAGCTCAGTCAGCGCGTTTTGCGGGTCCAGACTGCGGGTTACCTCCTCTTGCCTTGAAAGCTTGAACGCAGCTATCGTGGAATTGCTGCAAGCTCATCACCTTCATCGTCCTCTGACTTGAGAAGCTACCTGCTGGAAACAAACTTTTCCTGCCCTGTCGTACACAATGACAAGTCCCGTTTGACAACCAACGAAGAGGAAAGCCTGTCACCGGGAGTGAGGACGTTCACCAGCATCTCACGCAGCCACCTGAGTGCTTCTGGTGTTGTTTGCAATCTGCACAATCTCAACCCACTGTATGACTTTGATCTCATCCGACCCATGTACAACTACCTGCTGAACCCGAGCAAGAGCAAGTAAGGAAGTCGTTACAGAGGGTGATGAGCGGGAGGGCACAGGTGACCGCACCATGTCGCTGCTCGTCTTCAGAGATCCCATCACCACCACCTCGTTCTTCGCCACAGCCGCGAGCTGGCACAATGGTGCGACCGAGTGGGCAAGGGAGAGCCATGTCTCAACGGCGCCCTCATCCTCCGCTGGCAGGGAGGAGGAGCTTTCCCTGTCCTCGTTGCCATCCTTCTCTCCCCTCCTCTCACCATCGTCTCCTCTCCCTCCCTCCTCTGCTGCCCTCACCACCCTCCTCATCAGCTCTGCCATGCTTCCCGCCGCCCTCGCCCTCAGGCTCCCCTCCACCATGACTGCTCAGGTAACCTGAGGCGCACTCGCATCATGTAAATAGACTGTGTCGGAGCAACTTTCTCCACACTGGAGCTTCACGCTCTCATGGTGGAACTTGAAGCCAACAGCAGGAGGAAGGAAGGAGACAGCAGGATCTTGTTCAGAGTTGTTCATTCTTGAGTATTTCACAATAGACAGGTAATGTACGGGGAGGAAGAGAGTGGGAGGGTGGCGTCAGTACCACGTAGAACACGGCTGCAGACAGAGGAGTTGGTTGGCTGGAATGACGAGCATGCTTGCTTCTATGTCAGGATTCAAAGTAAGAATCGCTTTCACGGTTGTCCTGAATCTGTTCACAACAACGTCAGTCACATATGACTTACAACATAGCAATGACTTACCTCACGGCCAAGTCAGCGATGGACTGATCAAGACCAGGGCGGTACAACACGCCGAATGAGAGGACTCGACCTTGATCGTAGGCAGTAGGCGTGATGAAACCAGGATCGTCGATACTTATCTGGGGATAAAGTTGCGGAAGGAATTGAATCCCGACGATGTTCCCCGCTGCATAAGTCTTCCCTTGGTAAGAATTCAACGCCCATAATCTCATCCAGTCAGTCCTGGGCTGGATCGTGTCAGCCAGCAGCTCCAAGCTCGTCATGGTTTGAATGCAATATTGACACTTCTGAACTCGTAGGTGGATGCAGGCACTCTGGCAAACACCATCCGGACAGTCAAAGTCTGTTGTACACCCATACAAGTTGTTCCCCCCTCCCTTGCACAGCAGCGGCCTTGCGTTCCCCAGGATCCCAAGTGTGTCGATCGCCGCAAAACACATGTCCAGCGACTTTCCCGCCATGTCAAACGTCGGAGTCCATGAGAACGTGTAGGCAGGGCCTTCCTTCACGGCATCCTTGGCGTCGATCGAGATGTTTTGGAGGTAAACCAACAAGGGATAATTTGGGCCCGTGCTGTCCATGTTGAGGTTCTGCACAGTGATGTTCCACTTCTTGGTGCAGCCGATGAACGCGGATGTTGTGAAGTCTGACAGGTAATGGTCCTGAAAGAATCCTCCCCACCTCACCCGCACGTCCATCACTTGGATGACGATGCAACGCTGCTGGTTCAGCCAAGTGTTCAAGCACGAATGCGATGAGACCATGGGGGTCGCACAGACCTGGTAAGACTTGCCAGCATTGAAGGGCTGGGGGAACCATTCAATGGTGCCGTCAAACCTGCCGCAGGACGATGAGGGATAATCAACATTGATGCCGCTACGAAAGACAAGGTCTGTCTGTCCTCGACACGATGTCCAGTTCTGCTCGAAGTTGACGCAGGACCTCTGCAAGAACTTCATCCCAGGAGGGTTGGCTGAGGTTGGGCTGGAGATGAAGAGCTCTATCTGGTTCTGGTTCGGATTTGGCATCTGCAGGCAGTCAGCGCTGTTTGATGTCACAGAGAAGAACTGCTGCGTACCAGCGCGACAAACGTGTAACGAAAGTTGATGTTGACTCGAGCATAGACTATCTTCGGCTGCTCTGGCAGCAGGACGGAGCTCCAGTCAGAGGGTTTAAACATCCTCGGAGGGAGTTTCTCGTGGTCGACCATTGCCGGCACGGTTTCGGCGACGGTGTTCCAACACTGAATGTTGGGATAGAACAAGAAACAATCCTGGATGAAACATCAGACACAGAGTCTCGATCAATGAAAAGAGAGGATCACATGATACTCAGGAACATAAAGGTGAATTTTGATGCAGAGAGGCATCGAAGGACAAGTCTTGGAGGTTGCGTTGGTCATGTACTTGCCGTTCACATCCAGATCATATGCCGCAAAACAAATCACTGTCACGTTCTGCCTGAACTTTGAGGGTTGGCCATTTCCAACCAAATCCAGGTGATCCAAAGGGCGGAACGTGTACTCGTACTCTGCCAGTCCCGGGCTAGAATGCACAAGAACGAGATCACTAGGTTTAGCCCGAAACCCAGGATAATAATCTACAACGACTTGGCTGCTTGTAAGGGTGCGAGAGCCTGGAACAAAGTCTGCTGCATACAGCTTGATGGCATGCGTGTCCACGATGCTGAGGTTATAGACTTTGGTTACTTGCTCTGTGAGTGAAGGGAATCCAGAAACAAACATTGGAGGTTGATTGCTGCTCCCTGCATTGCAAGGGTAAAGTGAGAAGACGTTCTGAACGGCGGCTTGACCCGTGGAAGAGTTCCAATTAAGAGTGTAGTCAGATGCATTGGGGAAGTCAATGGTATCCATCACATGCTGGGTGAAGAAGGGGAAAACTTTCAATCCTTTGAAATCTTGGAAGGAGAAATCAGGTTTGATGTGATTGCTCGTATTGCTGGAGCCATTGAAGATGTAGCATCCGGTGGAAGTATTCGCAAGTTTCCAGTCGCTAGAGTCAAGATAGCTTGTGGTAGCAATGCAATCCACTCGGAAGCTCTGAGTGTCATTAAATCTACACGTTGCCGTGTCCATGATTGAGTAAGGAACACCGCGGCCGTACTTTCGATCCTTTGCGAGGATTTCTTCGACCAGATTTGGGGAATACTGCGTCATGAGATGCCCATCTAAGTCATACGAGTGAAACTCCATTGTAGCATATGGCGCACTGATCGAACCTCCATCAATAGACTTGTACTTGAATGGGTTCTCCTCAATGGCTGCTCCTGTTGCAACAGCGATGACATCCGGGAACAGAGCAATAGGAGAATGCCAATTGACTATTCCAGAAACATCGCAAAGCCACATGTCACTGTGTAATGCGTTTGATGCTTGTGATGTCGGCATGTTTGATGTGTAAGATGTGCTGGTTGTGTCTGATGTCTGTGATGTGTTAGATGTTGAGGAGTTGTATGGTGATGATGATGATGATGATGATGATGATGATGACGAGCTATACAGTTTGGAGCAGAGAGGAACAAATGTTTCAAGTGCTGGGGAAGCTCCTCGAAGGCAGTTCACGCCTGGCAGAGCAGGGGAGCACTCAAAGAAAAAGTTTCGCCAGTAAAGATCATTGATGGACGATGAGTCCTCGTAAAAAGCTGCTCCTCCATATCCATACGCATTCGGTAACGGTACCCGCCAAAGGCTGCACTCATTCGCAAGACATGGCGGGGAGTTGGTAGAACAACCGTTGAGCAACAGCCCCGTCGACTGATCTAGATTGTCGAACCCTTTCCTGGGAGCAAGCCAAGCGACGAGAGCGACGACGTCCTCATCAACTTGAACAGTATGCTCCATGTAGCCTTTCAACATGCTTACCCCATTCGGAGCATAGGCTGAGGACAGAGGCAGGTTTGGCTCGTTCCAGATGTCGGTCAAGATTAAAGTGTTGGATTTGCCTATCTTGCTACTGCATGAAGTGCCTGGTGAACATCCGATGATATCACTGGTGGCGTCTGACGCGCACTGAGAGCTGTTGCTCGTGTACTTTGACTTCATCCCACCAGCCCCTTGCGGCACCAGCTGTGCAATACACAGGACTCCGAAATTTTCTGCAATCCCACAGTTCCCATTTGCAGGACAATCGGGTATTGCCATGTCGTATGCAGAGCAATCGACCTGACTGTTTTCCGCAAATTTACATTGCGAGTTTTGAGGGAGAACAAAAGTCGCATCGATCCTGAATATGACATTTCTAGAGGCGATATCACGAGTGAAGTTTGTGTTTACAATCCATGATATGCTGCCACCGATCAAGGACTGAAGAGAACACGTGAGGTCAAGGTAGCATGCTAGGATGAACAACCGAGCTATGTTCATCCTTGCAGACTCTCTCGTTCACAGGTCTTCGTCATGCCCCAGCATCGTCTTCTTCCTCTCTTCTCTTCCCCTCATTCTCATCGCGCCTCCTCGTCTCCATGAGCCCTCCGACTCCCCACCCCAGGAACTGGCAGGAAACACTACCGTACACTATACCGGACCTACCCTTCATCACATCAGTTATCACATGAGGACCCCGGGCCTCTTTTCCTCCGGGTTTCTACTGGTGGAGAGGAAATGCCGGGTCTCACTGAGTCCCGGCCCGGGTGGCGGCCCGGCCCGCCGCCGCGGGCACCGTGCCGCTCACCGTGCCGCCATGCCATGATGGCCGTGTGACGGTGGCCAGGAGCAGGCAGGGCCCACCGTGGCACTGGCTCCGAGTCGGACTTGTGCTGATTACCGCCCCCGGAGTCCGGCGCTGAGTGGGCCCGGATTCCCCGGGCCGGACGGGCCAGATCGGACCGTGACGCGGCACAGCTTGGGCAGGCCGCCCGACGGTCTCCGCATGACGGTCCCCATCCGGGACCGTCCGTCGCGGTGCCGCGGACTCGCGGCACTGTGACTGGCATCACAGCCTCAGACGGTCACCGCCGGGCAGTGATCGGACTGAGTTCCGAGGCTGCCACCGGAACGGCGCCGGCCGGCGTCACTTTCCGGGCCTGGCTGGTAGTGGCGCGCCGGAATTTCGTCGGGCAGCCCCACACCGCCCCCCCCCCACCCCCCCGGCCCGGCACCCGGCCGGGCGGCGCCACTGTCCGACGATCCGAATGCGCCAGGACACCCGGTGCGGCCGGCGCCCGGGGCCGGCGGCGCGGCCCGGCCGCGGGCCCAATGCGGCAAGGACTCTGTAGTAGTATGGTGGGGTACAATTGTCCTGATTAGAACGGGTGGTGGTGGCAAGGGTTGGTAGGGGTGTTTTCAGGTCAAGAGTAGGGTAGGGGTAGGGTAGTGGGTGACGAAAATAGGGTATGGCAGCATGATGAAGTGGGTGGGGGCGGTGCTGGCGATCGGCGCCATGGTGGCGGTTGCGATGATGCAGGAAGATGGGGTGAGGGACAAACAAGGAGGAGCATCGATGGGGGATGGGCAGCGAGCAAGAGATGTACTTGCGATGAAGCAAGGGTTGCTCCGAGGGAGCGACCCTAGGGTGAACTTGTTGAAGGAGCAAGCGCACAAGGAGGCAGCGCTGGCAAGGTTGGAGGACAAACAGATCAAGATCCTGAAGAAGGAACTATCGGCTCTCAAGGTCGGCGGAAAGCAGCAGATGCTCAATGGAGCCTCGGACATGCAGAATGGGCAACGTGCGGTGGGAGCCGGGTATTGGGACAAGGAGCATCATGACGATACATGGAAGCCTGTGGATGACATCTACGACAAGCTGATCAAACGATCGCAAGAATGGGAGAAAGCTGAGAAGGCTCGTCAGGACTCGCACCAGGACGATCTGGACTCGTTTGTCGATGTACAGTCACAGGACGGGCCTTTCGAGGATCTTGCCAACCAGGTAGTGCAGGAAAACAGCCAAGAGCGCGAGTTTTCCAATGACGACTCCTTCGTCCCTCCTCCTACAGCCATCACACCCAATCATAGGCTGCCATTGCAATCTTACTTGTCCTGGGAGCAGTCCGGCAATGACATGATGGGTTCGAACTGACGTGCTTGGTGAATCATGGCAAGCTTGTGGATGGCCCAGCAGGTGTAAGCATACAGCATTGCTGCCCGCCTCTTATCAATGCAGTCCAGTCTACCTCGGTTGAGCAAGCTCAGTATGTAAGGATGTCATCCGTTTCCGATGGTGTTTTCTTTCCTTTCCTCCAATTTTTTTCCTCAATTTATGTAAACCTTTACATTTCAAAGAAATTATCTTGAATCACTCTTCATTCACTCCTCTTGATTTACATTCCTTCTCTTCTTCTCGCAAGTAACAGAGCGAGGAAAACTCCAACGCTGCCCTCACAGGAAACGTTTCCATTACGTAATTTATTTGCAAACCCCAGATGCGGCAATGCACATTGCAGTGCTGTCCTCCTTGACAGGAGGACCTCCTGTTGGCAAAAGTCACTTCCCTCCCGCATTGCAGGCTGCTGCTTACTTGAGAAGATGGCTTCCAAGGAAGCCGCAGCGAACGCATGCACGGAGATCACAGCAGCCGCTCTGTCCATCTGAGAGGGTTGCAGCGCCTGTTCGGCCAAGAGTCAAGGGGAGGAAGAGTTGACGAGGTGCAAGGGATAGAAGGAGAAGGAGGAGGAGGAGGGATGTGGAAAAAGACGGCGCTTTCAGGGAGAGTCTGAAGGAGGGGAAGGGAGGGGAAAAGTTGCTTACCAGCATGTTGTCAGCGTCGGTGTGATGGTAGAAGAAGTAATCTCCCTGAAAGTCTTGCGGGAAAGGAGATTTTCCATCCTGCCGTACTTGCCCAATGCCACTGAGAAAAGTTCAGTCGGATACCCTGTGACCCACTCCACTTGTATTAGTCTGTTTCTCTCTACTTACTCTGCCCTTGCCCCCCCCCCTTCTCCCTCTCCCTTCCTCTCCCTTCATGTTCCTGTGACTCAAGCACTCACTTGGGGACTTGCGCAACAGTGAGGGCAGGGATCTGATGGGATTCGACGAACCTCCCCATGTCGGATGTGGTGAACCCTGCGTCAGCGAACACATGCGAGCCACCGATGCGGGCAAGAGACTCTCCCACTGCTCTCATGACCAGAAGCGTCGGCGCATCTGATCGCAAGCTCGCGCCAGTCGCGGTGAAGATGCTATAGTCGAGCTCGATGACCATGGAGATCTTGTCTGCTTCGCCCTTGTGATCTTCGTAGTACTGCCTCCCCCCCACAACCCCAACCTCCTCGGCAGTCCAGAAGATCATTCGTAACGTCCTCTTGGGTTTCAGCCCGAGGTCCTTCACAGCCTTGACTACCTGGTAGGCCACAAACGACGGGCCCGCATCATCGATCGCCCCTTGCCCAACATCCCAAGAATCGATATGCCCGCTCACGATCACAACTTCGTCGGGGTACTTGGAGCCCTTGATCTCCACAATGGTGTTGCGACTCGGCGTATTACTCAAGGTCTGAGCGCTCATATGCAGCTGGACAACAACCTTGTCTCCTCGCTCCTGCATGCGCTGCAGCATCGCTGCATCCTCTGCTGTGATAGCGGCTGATGGGATCTTTTCCACTTGTGAATAATCTCCGAAGAGGGCCTCTGGTATCCTTGCCTGATAGTTCTTGGCTGACTTTGCATCGAAGACACCCTTGATGTAGCCCATCGACCCAGTGTGGGGTGTAGAGAGAGAGAAGGACGCAAGGGAGCGGATAAGAACCGCAACAGCTCCGTACTTGGCCGCAAACGAGGCTCCAAGGTAGCGGTAAGGTGTACACTCTCCGTACTTCGTCCAAGGGAAGTTGAAGAGCACAATCTTACCTCGCACCTTGTCTGACTTCATGGCAAGATCCTCGAAGGAATTCACGACTACGACATCGGAAGTGATCCCTTCCATCCCTGTCCCCACGCTGAAACCAAGCCCGAGCATCGGAAGCTTCTTGGTTGCATTGCCCACCAGTGGCGACAGCAGCACACACCTTTCTTCCCCCCTGACCCAGCGAGGAACGCTGACGGACTCGAAGTGAACGTCGTTGAAGCCATCTTGCCTGACAATCGACTCAAGATGGTCGATTGACCTCTCAAGGTTCTCTGTCCCTGTGAACCTGTGGCCATACCTGTCCACGAAGTCTGCAGTGCGTCTGTACGCTACTCCTTTGCCTGCTCCTGCCACGTGATAGTCCACCAACTTGTCCAGATCCTTCTTCATCCCCTCGATCTCGTCCTGGATCGCAGGAGGGAGAGGAGTAGGACTCGGGCTCTCGTGTGGAGCTGGAGGATCGACTCCTGCAGGCGGCACAACTTGAGCCTCGTCGATCGAGCTTCTTACGCAAGGTTTCCCTGTTCCCGCAAAGAGCGAAGCTACCACACAGCCGAGCACGAAGCATCCGAAGCACAACAAGAGGACATGCTTGAGCCTGAAGCTCTTCTCCTCACTCCCGTCCGTCTCATCGTGGAAAACAAACTTCGAGAGGATCGATGACCGAGGTTTTCCTTTGGCGTTCACATCTGTCGCAAAGATCAAACATCAGAACCAACCAGGCAAACCGGCAGCTCATCTTACTCTCATGTAGTGGAATGTTGTCGTCTTCCCCATCTTCAATGTTCTCACGATATGGCATCTCAATGCCAACAATCAGAGCAAAGTAATTCTCAGCAGCAAACAATCAAGTGTCTTGCGAAGCAAGCTTAATCTGTTGGCATCCCACGGCGATCCATCTGGAAAACACAACAAGCTGTCAGCAACACGAGGCTGACGATGGTATTTCCGTATTTTCTCTTCGGCATCTTAAAATTTACATCTTCATCCTCTCTTTTTTCCAAGAAGTCATTATGCGATATCATACTCCCCGGTTTTGGGACACTACCATCTCCCATCTCAGCATTCCGCGCTCAATTCTTGCACTTATCTCATCCTTTGCTATCATATCATACGGCTACTATTTCCTGCTCGCTCTTCTCCATCGAACATCCTTTGTATCAGCTTGCTCAAAATCAGTGTCCCTCTTACCTTCAATCGAATCTGGAAAAATCTCTTTGTTTGCTATCTTGTACTACCTCGTACCTGAGTATACTCATCCACTCAGCCTTCTCATTCATCTCCATCCTCTTCCTTCTCCTCGTTCGCCTTCTCCCTTCTCCTCCTGCTCCTCGCTCCCCCTCTAAATCCTCAAACCTCTTTTCCCTCATTTTCATCGGGGAAATTCTTGCAAGGGAGTAGTTTTGAGGGGGTGGGTGTATTACGTACCCACCCTTGTATGAGTGCCACACTGTTTTATGACCGGTACTTCTCGGTGCAATAAGTCATGAATTGGGGGTGAGGGTGGGGGGCCCTGGAAAGCCCTCATTGTTGCGAGTAGGAAAAAAGCTAAAAAAAAGCTGAAAAAAAGATAAAAAAGGTTAAAAAAAGATCAAGAAGTTGGACCATGTAAACCACACCTCTGTATCGCTCAAAGCATTCCGTGACAGCAACATCAGCTCTCGTCTTGCAGTTCATGTGATCTTGTTATGTTTCCACATACCGTTGACTTGTACATCGACTGTTGGTAAGTAAGTTGGTATACACTACTATTTCTGCCGGGTACTCCACTGATGAACAGATATACTCTTCCTGAAGTGGGCTAGGATGTGTGCTTCAAGTGTAAGATAGGTGAGGAGGGAACCGAGGAAATAGCTCGGGCACACTATTTCGCTCCTGTACCGCTTTGCAACTTAGCAAGATTGGAATTCTTTAGTAAACAGAGTCAAAAAGGAAAAGTGGATGGACGAGAGAGAGAGAGAGAGAGAGAATTGACAACAATAACAACACAGTATGTCCTCCAGCACAGCAGAGTTAGTGGAATGCCTTCGCTCTAGTGATACTCAGTGCTTGGCGCGCTTGGCTTCACACTGTCGGAGAACAGCGATTCACTGCGAGAGCGGGAGTCAAACCAACAAGAAATCGCAGGTAGAGGGTAGAGAAGAAGAATGAAATCATTATGAACTCACTGGAAAGCTGGGAACAAGTCCTTGTTTCCAGCATTGTCGGACAAACTTGGCGCAATAGTCCCGTCGTTCCATACAGCCTTGTACTTTGGAGCCCTGCTGAACCCGTTGTCTGGAAGCATCTTTGGAATTTTTTCTGCCGTGACGCCACTGTTATCAAACTCGTCACTCAACCCAAGAGCTTGCATGAAGCTCGTGAACAATCCAGGCTGAGGAGGTTTCGGCTTCACAAAGACAGGCTTGGGAGCGTCGGAGGGCATGTACGCCTCGATAGGGGGCCCTGGTTGAATGCTAGATTGCAAGAGCTGGTTTAGCGCACCGTTACTCCTGGCAATGTGGTTGCACGCTGCCTGATTCCCCTCCGAACACGCCTCCAACCATTGACTTGAAACCACGTCTCCCAATGCCCCGGATTGCCATTTCGACGAGTCCCACAGTCCCTTCACATCCGCCATGTCCTGGTACGTCTTGGAGTACGCACTCAGCTTCTTCAAAGGCTCCAACTGTTTCGACACTGCCTGCAAGTTCATTTGATTGCTTGATGGAGACGCTCGTGAAGCTCTGGCGGGCCTCTTGTGGTGAACAGTGGTGGACAACTGGTTCAGATATTGCTTGTTCTGCGCTATCTCCAAACATGCCTGATCGCTGCCATCAGAGCACTGTTTGGTCAATGCTTCGAATCTCGACCTCATCCCCACATCCCCAGACACTTGATCCAGCAGCTGTGTCCTTCCTTCAAGGGAGGCTCCCGTGTGTGGCCCCATCTCCCATCTGTCTGCGTCTGCTAGGCTCTGGTAGTAGGACACACTGTGCACCTTGAGGATGCTCCTCTGCTTCTGAAGCAATTCCACCTCATCCGCCCCCCTCGTCAACAGCAGCGCCAGAACGCATGCCAGCGCCAGCCCAGCCCCGAAGATCAGTTTGAGCATGGCGGACGAAGAGACAACCGTTGCGTTCCCGTTATAGAGCTCTTTGGCACGGACGGGCCATCCCTTCAACATCGAGTTCATCGCCCTCATGTCCCTGTCTAAATTGGAAACGCTGTTGGAAACACCCACCCCTTGTACTTCCTTCCCGGACCCCCTTTAATATTACCCCACCCCCTCCAAGTCGATCATTAGGTCCTGCATCTTGAGGTGTGGTGGTCGTAGAAAGTGGCGCTCTACCCCATGTCCTTCAAATACCCACCCCTGTTTACCTGGACGAACAAATACCCTACCCCCGCCCTTCAGAATACCTATCCCGTGCTGTACCCCCAGATTCAATATTTAAAAGTACCCGTAACAGTCTGGAATTCTTTCATAGCCACCCCTACTATGAGAATGTACCCCACCCTACAGGATGGATTACCCTCCCCTGCCTTTGCCCTCATTCGTTTCGACGGAAATAGAACAGGTAACCTCGTACTGCATGCCGCGACGCGACATGTTCTGCCTATTTCCCTCATGCTGCATTTGCCCTGAGCTTTCTTGTATCAACCTTGCTATGCTGTTTTGCTGATATGATTGCGCTTGTTCAACTGTGTATGTTTCAAGCATGTGGTACAGAAGCGTGGTACACGTGACTGAGCTAGACCTCCTGATTTGGTTTGAATGATGTTTATTCATTATGGTGGCATTGACGTGTAAATAAGACGAACTTGTATCATATCTCAAAGAATTTCAGAATCGTCAAGAATAAGCAGACTTCCTGGTGAAGCTGAGTAGTGAAACACTGTCAATGAAGAGGAAAATTTCAGGGGTGCATGTGCCATACCTTTGCTTAGAGTATCACATTGCTGCAGAGAGTGCAAACAATTTTTTTCTTCAAATCAAAGCAGATTAGATGGACATTGACTTACCTCTAATCAAGGAAAATTACATTAGCAATCTTCCAAGCGCGACTGATGAGATGTTATCTGACCCTTGGCTGCAGATGTTCGAGAATCTTCAAATGACTGAGCAGCTCTACGGCAAGCATGCCGTAAGTTATCTTTGAACTCCCAATGGTTATTCTTACAAATATCGTTCAGGCGGCTCTTTACGCCCAGGCTGCTGACTTCAACAAGACTGCGCGCTTCTACTACATGAAGGCCCAGGATGCCTACTACCTTGCCAATGCTCAGGCTTCCTATGATGACTGGCGCCGTGCTCGCCGCCAGTGGGATTACTTCTACCGCAGGAAGTAAACAGACCATGCTGAAATGAGACATTTCGGACTGTAACTATTCCTAGTAAACTGTTGACGCTCAACCGAAAATCTGCTGCGTTTGTTCTCGCTACTACATGTGTTCACATAGAATGTTTCTAACGAAGGTTGCAAAACTTTGTTGTATGACACAATCTATGCATTACGAACGACAGAAGTTTCATGCTCTCTCAAAATATGTCTTGTCCACCTTGTACATCTTCATTTGGGTAATCCCACCATGTCCAGCACTCCAGCCGTGTAGGGCATGGTTTTTCGGAGTTTCCTTGCAAACTCCGCATCCTTCTGTGCCGATAACAGCAGACTGGAAGCGACTAAACCGCATATGAGCGTACTGCCCCCTAGCAAGTAAAGCAACCACATTCCACTGCTCATCTGAATGATCTCTGTGTCCACAAGTTTGGCCCTTTGCCTTTGCGGTTCATCCACGTTGAGTTCACGAATAGAGTTGTCCAACTCGTTGAGTTTGGATTCCGACACTGCAATTCTGTCAAGAATCCTTTGTCTTTGTGCACTGACTTGTCTTCGGAGGAGAACATTGCCTCCAGCAGATTTCTCAAGTTTATCCAGTCGATCATTCGCCACTCTACGAAGTTCGTCTAACCTGCATTGTATCGTCAGAACAGTTCGTTGATCAGGATGATGAGAAGAAGTTGACTTACAGCATTTTTGATTCTGATGTCTTTGTCACCTGCTGCATCTTCTCGACGGTCGATTCTAGATGTGTCGAGCGGTCATCCACGAAACGGTCGATAGTATCCAATTCTAGCTTCGCTGCTCTCAACTCAGAAGAATCTTGACGAATCTCTTCCTGGAAATCCTGTTCGTCATTCGATTTTGATGGAATCGGATTTCGATTAAGTTTGTAATTGTCTTCTTCCATGAAATACTTGGCTTCGCTCGAACGAATCCGTTCATTGATATGCGCTTCAATAGATTTCCCTGCCTGCATGGTCAAGTCAGTCTAAGTTCCCGCAATCAACCGAAAACACTCACTGGGATCTTATCCTTTGGCCTTAACGCCTCCATCAGCATGTTCACCCTCGAAACCACCTTCGTTGCAAAAGCCTGACACCAAGTCAGCCCCGCAAGTCTGAATTGAACAGAAGGACACCAACATCAAATCCCTCAACTCTTGAACATCAAGAATATTTAATTATCACACAAGAAAGGCAAAACACACAGCTCTTTGCAATAATTGTCTATCGTCAGGTCGATGCTCGAGGGCATCCGCTACAGAAAGCACAAACAAACAATATATTGACTAAGATAGGAGAAAAAATTAACACAGATAGAAAAAGACATCTACACAAATCAATCGAGTTTTTGATAGTTTCTTCGATCAGCCCTCCTGTCAAAACCTTCGCATTCCTTTCTCCTAGAATCATTGCGCCTCCCTCGCATGTGTGACCTTTGACGTATGTTTCCTTGCCTATCCTTCCCCTTCAGCCCTTCTCCCGCCCTTCTTCCGTCCTCCTCCTCCTCCTCCTCCTCCTCCTCTCATCTCTCTTCCATCATACCTTCTGAGCAGCACATGGCTGCAGCCTCGCCCTGCGCAGCACGGGGGCCAGCGACGGGAGCATGAAATGTGTAGAACCGTTACAGTAGGGTAAACTGTGGTAACGACCCGTTGCATCTTGTTACACAAAGACGTTATTACCGTTATTCTCATTTCGGGAGTCATCGATGATATGGCAGGGAATCGAGGGATATTGGGGCAACGAGGAGGAGGAGATGGGAGGGGTGCATGGACGAGGAGAGATGGAGAGGGATCGGAAGAGAGAGAGAGAATGGGATGATGGCGGGGGGTTGATCGTGGTGGAGGGGCAGGGAGGAGGATCAGCGAGTATGGACTGTTTTCAGAGCGAGGAGAGGGACGGTAGGCAGTTGCTTCAGAAGTGAGGGAGGAGAGGAGTTGCGATTATGCCTTCAGCTTGTTTTTCTGACATAAATCTCTTCGAAACTTGTAACTGAGCTCACACATGCTTGTCACAGAGCAAAAGATCAGCATCGTTGAAGAGCAAGGATGGTGTCAACAAAGACCCTGTGATTCCCTCTCAAGACATTGCTGTGGGAATGTCGAAGCGCTGCCGTTCTTGTCTTGTTTCTTGGAGGGTTCTTGTGCCCCTGCTCTTGATCACCTGCTCCTGGGTTCACTGTGACGATACCGCACATCTCGCCTCGGGCTCGCAGGTCACGCAGAGTCTAGCGGAACGGTCAGCAAGTCAGTTCGTACATGGGAGTGTAGAAGTGATAGATCGACATCCTGGTGTGCGACCTCGCAAGTCTCAGGTTTCGGAGGGGAGGGACGCGTTTGTAGACCGAGAGAGCACGCCGGATGCTTCTTTCAAGGTCAAGTTGAAGAACAGCGATCGGGGTGAGCGGGAGCTTGAAGCTGCGAAAGCATGGAAGCGAAAGTCCCGAGAGTACAAGTCGCAGCTTGTTCACAGGAAGCGATCTCCAGTCTCTTCTTCAACAGCTTTTCCTGGTCAGACCGATCGGAATGGACGTCGCCATGCGGGGGTAGGGAGAGATGTTCGCTTCAGGACGTCTTGTTGCCTTACGTTGCTGTTACGGCAGTTCGGAACTAAAAGCTTGAGCGAGGACTCTACCAAGTGTGACTCGACAGGGTGAGGAGAGCTAAGCAATCTAGTTGTCTCGTATGATGGGGACGGGGATGGGGATGACGACGACGATGATCATGATAATTATCATCTTGACATCAACAAGTTTGCTGAATGTTGTAATCAGCTGTTGGACGATTGACACGTCTGATGAAGCTACCAAAGCAACTCTGAAGGTGAAGAAGAGAATATGTTTTGCTGCTGCTGCTGCTGCTGCTGCTGCTGCTGCTGCTGCTGCTGCTGCTGCTGCTGCTGCTGCTGCTTTGGATGATGATATTGATGATGATGATGATGGCAAATGACTGATAACTTGTATGCTTATATTTCAGGCGTTTCGGGAGGCAGCAAGGATCAAGAACAAGTTGCCTTCCATGCACGCTGTGACGGAAGCAGCGAATGCTGCTGTTGCTGCTGCCGCTGCAGATGTTGCATCGATGAAGACGATATCCAAGGTCTTCTCTCTTGCCCCGTCCTCCCTCCTCCTTCCTCCCTCCTCCCTCCTCCTTCTTCCCTCCTCCTTCTCTTGCAAGTCCTCAGTGTGTACATGCTCACATTGATGCAGACTATGCATCAAGGAGGGAAGAGCCTTGCCGAGGCTCAAGGTGGGCCAACGCCTTGCTCGCTGATCTCGTGACATCTCTTCGATCGCAGATGCTAATCCTGCACGGTTGAATCAAGAGAAACCTCTCGCTCACCATCTAAGGTCACTGCCTGCCTCCTTTCCTCCTCCCTCACACCCTCGTTCTTATCCTCGCTCTGCGACCGTCTATGTCTCCTTGTCTTGCTCCCTCGTCGAGCTGATATCTCTTGTGCTAGACCGAGCTGCGACAACCCCTGGAAGCACGCTCAAAACTCTCGTCAGGCTTGTGCGTACGTCCGCAAGTACTGCCCTCAGCGCAGCGGGCTCTTCAACTACCTAGCTCTTCCCTTCTGCTCCCTCGGCAAGGTTTCCTGGCTCGCCATCCTCCTCCTCCTCCTCTGGCTTGTCGCCCTGTCCATCTGGCTGGGACTTGCCGCCGACGCCTTTCTGTGCCCGTGCTTGACCTACATCAGCCGCTTCTGCAACCTCAGCGAGAACGTCGCCGGAGTCACGTTCCTCGCGTTCGGCAATGGCGCGCCAGACATCTTCACTGAAATCGCAGCCGCCATCGCCTCCCCGCACGGAGCAGAGATGGCGCTAGGTAGAGGAGGAGAGAGGGAGGAGGGGGAGGGCCCTGTTGACGTCCACCACCAGGTGAAGTCATGGGATCCTCGCTGATCGTTGCTGGCGTCGTCTTCGGCATCATCGCCATCGTCGTTCCCTTCCAGCTCCCTCCCCGGGAGTTCGTGAGGTACGAGTGCTGCCTCCCTCCCCCCGCTTCGCGCTGCTCCTGCGCTGACCTCCTCCTCCTCCCGCAGGGACGTGCTGTTCTTCCTCCTAGCGCTGTTCTTCCTTTTCGTCATCCTTCTAGATTCCTACATCAGCATGCTGGAAGCCGGAGGTTTCATGCTCCTGTACATCTTCTACCTCTACATCGTCGTCTTCGGCACCACCTACGTGCACAGCTTCCTCGGCGACGAAGGGGCGCAGCGCTCGAAGCTGATGTCACTCAAGACTGAAAACGAGCAGAGCAAGGGCCCCAGGCTGATCGAGGCACAAGGGAAGGCAAGACTGTTCCAGTCGGACACTTTGATCGATCTGCACGACCTCGTCCAGTACGTCAACCCGATCGGCAAGGAGGAGGTCAGCCACCACTCGCTGGTCAACCAGGTCCTGTACGGCATCAAAGTCCCCGCCATCGTCGTCATGAAGCTCACCTGCCCCGTCGTCGACCTTGAGCTGCCTAACAGCGGCTGGTGCAAGTCTGCCGTACTCGTTCAGCTCGCCCTCTGCCCTCCCATCCTTGTCTGGTGCGTCCTCCTCCATGGCTTCCCTACCATCAGCGCCGCCACCTGCCACATCGCCTTCGCATGCTCTGTCGTCTTCGGCCTGCTGGCGGCAGCGATTGTGCACGTCTCCTCCAAGCACGAGGAGCCTCCTCCCTACCTCGCGCTCTTCGCCTTCCTCGGCTTCTTCACCTCCATCGCCTGGATCTACGCGCTCGCGGCCGAGTTAGTGCATCTCCTGCAGGCGCTGGGAGCTGTGCTCGACGTCTCCGACACCCTCATGGGCCTCACCGTCCTCTCCCTCGCCAACAGCGTCGGCGATCTCGTCGCCAACCTCGCCATGGCGCGTGCGGGCATGCCGAGCATGGCGGCGGCCGCGTGCATCGGGGCTCCTCTGCTGAACCTTCTCTTCGGAGGAGGCCTGGCGACTTTCCTGGGGAACCTGCTGGTGGCGTCGCCCTACCCGTTCGAGCTGAACCTCCAGCTGTACGTGAGCATCCTCTTCCTCACCTTCTCCCTCATCGCCATGCTCGTCTACGCCGTCATGCACAAGTTCGAGATCCGCGCGCCCCTCGGCTTCATCCTCATCCTCATCTACGGCGCCTTCATGATCACCTGCCTTGGCTTCGAGGCCTGGGGAGGTCGCAAACTCTTGACGACTAACATCGGACCCCAGGTGCTAGAGCATATTCTTGTTGCTGTGCTCTTCTCCTCTGTCCTTCTCTTTCCCTTTCCTTCTCCTGCCTTCTCCCTCCTTCTCCTCGTTTCTTCTCCTCCTGTTTACATTTCCTCCCTTGTTCCGCCATTCTCGCTCTCCTCTGCCTCTGACAAGCCTCAACAGGTTCGATCAGGGAATTTTGATTTTCGGGCGTCGGACTGATTCCTTTCCCTTTCTGCTTTGCTATTCTTTAGTATCAGCGAGTGTATCATGTAAATCAACGTAAAGCACAATGAAAGAATACGAGACTTCAAAGAGACAAGTTGCTCCGACAGCAGTCAACCAGCATCAGCAAGACAGACAGGTCAGAAGAAGCATCTCAAGGAGCGCAAGGTCTCTTCACTGGGCAGCGAGCTCCTCCTTCATGAGTTGAATTCTCTTCAGCGCGTCCTGTGCCCCTGACTTGTCCTGTTTCTTCAGCAGCTTCTTGGCACGCCCCTCCTCCTGCCTGATGGCCAGCTGCAGTTTCCTCCTGTAGGTCTCCTGGTCCATCATGTTGCAGCTGATCTGTGTCTCCAGCAGTTGCATCCTCGACCTCAGTTCCTCGACCCTGAAGGTGAGTCAGAGCGTGATGAGGACGAGTACGGGAGGGGATACGAAGAGGACGATACGGGGGAGAAAGGAGTAGGAGAAAGAGGAGGCATGTTTATGTAGAGGAGGAGGATGTAGAGGAGGAGGGGGAGGAAGGGGAGGACGAAGAGGAGGCTGAAAGAGGAGAGGGGAGCAGGTCGTAGGAGCATCACCGGAACTGTAGCTCGTCCATTTCGTCATGGTTTTTGCAAGCCTTCATCGCTTCCTCGCATCTTTTCACCTCATAGTCCATCACCTCGTAGCTCACTATCCCGGACAAGTCGTCGTCGTCGTCCACCTCCTCCACAAGCCCTTCCTCTGCCACCACTGGTCTCCCTCCTCCTGCCTCTTTCCCTCTCCCTCCTCCTTCCTCTCTCCCTCCTCCTCCTGCCGTCAGCTCCTTTTCCCCCCTCTCCTGCTTTCTCCCTCCTTCCTGCGCCTTCCCCAACTTTTCTTCGCTTGCTGGAGCAGAGGCCATCTCCTGCTGCGTGATGCGGATCCAACAGCTCAGCCTTGCCGCCTTCGCCTGCTCCCCAGCTGACACGAAGCGATCGCGCTCACCCTCGCACTTGGAGCAGAAGGAGCGGAGGGAGGAGACGTAGGAGGGTAGGGACATGAGGCCGCAGTCGATCTTGGTGTGTAGGAGGTGAAGCTGGTTCGCGATCTCGTCCAGCCTACCGGCACGAGACGTGAGGAGCGAGGAGGAGGAGGAGAAGGTAGAGGCAGAGAAGGAGGTAGAGGTAAAGAAGGAGGTAGAGGTAGAGAAGGAGGTAGAGGTAGAGAAGGAGGTAGAGGTAGGGAAGGAGGTAGAGGTAGAGAAGGAGGTAGAGGTAGAGAAGGAGGTAGAGGTAGAGGAGGAGGTAGAGGTAGAGGAGGAGGTAGAGGTAGAGGAGGAGGTAGAGGTAGAGAAGGAGGTAGGGGAGAAGGTAGAGGATGGGGAGGGGAGGAAGAGAGAAACACACCGGTACGAAAGGTCATCACTGTCTTCATGTCCGCTCGGAAGTTTCTTCTTCTGCTCCTGCGCGACTTTCTGTTCATATTCCAGCACCTCGAAGCTCGCAATTTCTGCGATGTCATCGAAGATTTCGATCTCATCATCGCCATGCTCCCCGACCTCTTCCTCCTCTCCATCCTCCACCTTCCCCCCCACTCCCCCTTCCGCTCCTCCTTCGATGCTGTACGCCATCGGGTGGTTGCCGCAAGCTCGGATCTGCTGCTCTGGCAGCTGAGGTTCAGGTGGGATCTCCATATCCAGCTCCTTGCACATGAGCTGGATCCAAGAGAAGACTCTGTCCGCATCCTTCACCCGATTCTGCGCCTGCAACCTCCTCCTCACCCGCTGCTCCCGGGCTATCGCGTCCTTGACCTGCTTCATGTACTCCTCCTCTGTCAGAATCCCAGTCTCCACGTTGGTCTGCAAGATCTGAATCGCCGTCTCGAGCTCTCCCTTGCGGAAGTTGAGCATTTCCAGATCGCCCTCCTTCCTCTGCAGCTTCTCGCATGTCACCTTCAGCTCCCACTCCATCACCTCCAGGCACTTCAACCGTTCCACAGCATCAAGATCCTCCTCCTCCTCCTCCTCCTCCTCCTTCTCATTCTCAGCCTCCTCCTCCTGGTGCTGCTGGGCAGGTGCAGGGGCAGCAGGCTGGGAGCGGATGCTGAGGCGTTTGGAGATGTGAGAGAGCATCTCGTTGGTGTTGCGAAAGTCTCGTCCTCCGCTCATCTTCTTGCAGTCCTTGAGCAGCTGCTGAGCCTTCAGCAGCCTCGCCTGACACTCATCAAGCTGCTCCTTGCTCATTCCTGGCCGGGCTGTGCTTGAGAGGAAGAGCTTCTTGGCTTGCGTGTAGAGACTGGAGGAGGGAGGGAGAGTTGTGGAGAAGAGTGAGGGTGGGAGGGAAGGAGCGGAGGAGGAAGATCAGGATGTAGATGATGAGGAGGAAGGGTTGAAGGAGGCAGCGACAAACATGGCAGTCAGCGACAGCAAACAAACGATCAAACTCTCTTCACCTGTCCAACTTAGCAGAGTCCCGGCCGGCGCCTCCTGCGGGAGGGACTTCAGGATGGAGAAGAGGAGGAGGAAAGAGACTTTCACCTTTATTCGCATTGCTTGCTGCTACAGCTTTTGGCGTTCCTGGCTGTGCGTTCAAGGGAGCTCTCTCTATGGCAGCGATGAGCTTGTCATGAAGAGACTTGATGGCGCTGGAGCGAGGAGGGGCAGAGCTGTCCTCGAAGATGAACAGACGGTCTTTCTCCGCTCGGAGCCTTTCCTTGTTGTCCCAGGGCTTGTGGACGTTGCACTCGATGTCAAGGGAGCAAGGAACTTTCTTCTTCCCCTTTTCAGGATCGAAGAGGTCGAAGGAGGACTCTTTGAAGGACGACGCTGTCATCAACCTTGAAAGCTCCACCTCTGTCTTTCCCAAGACCGTCTTCTTCGTCCGCAAGAAACTTTTCTCCACCACCACAAGCTCGATGTTGACCTTCAAGAACTTGTGGCTTGCATACCTCTGGAGAGAGTTGGTGACTTTGGCATGAAACAACCCGACCAATCCGCCCTGCTTCTCGAATTCCTCCACCTCCAACGCCTTGGAGTTATACACCTGCGGCTGATCCTTCGGCCATAGAAATGCAACTTTCAGCTCAATCAGAGATCCTTTCGGTAGCTCGTTCACTTTCAATATCCTGATCTGCAGCTTGTCGACCTGGACATTTGTATTCTGATCCTTTGACTGATGGACCCTCTGCGCGATCCTGTGGGGAGGAACTGGTAGGTTGTCTTCCTTGCGCTGCGTTCAGATCAGTCCAGACCAAGTGAGCATGTCAAAACCTTTCGTAGCCATTCGAGTACACTCGTGTAATACTTGTTCTCCTGGTGAAATCCAAGGGCCTCCATCTTGTCTCCGTTAGCGTAAGAAAGTTTGACACGCGTGGACAGTTTCTGACAGGATTCGAGACGTCAGAAACATATCGACCAGTCACACAACACTCACATTGCACAAGGAGGATATCTCTTCATCCACTACTTGATGAACCTTCAACTCTTGCTCACTGTCAATGTCATCATCCTTCAACACCCACGGCTATGTTCATCATCATCACCTCAACTCTGCCTTGGATGGGATAGGAGGAGGAGGCTGAATCTCTGCATCTTGTTCGCACGGCCGGTCCCACTGGCTGATCTTCAACTTCTTGTTGTAGAAGTATTGCTTGCCTGCAGCAGCATCCTTTACCAACCCTCTCCATCCCCCAGCGCCAGACTGACCTGACTTGGGGTCCACTGCCACCTGCCAACCAGGCGGCAATGGCTTCGGGATTTCTTCTGGCGCAGCTTCAGGGGCCTAGAGAGACATGTGAGCATGCGAGAGGTTGTCGTCATCAAGAGGAGACTGACATTCGCTGCTGTCTGTTTCACAGGCTTCTCTTTCTCTGCTGGGATCTCAACCTTCTTCTCCTCCTTCACCGATGCTTGCTTCTCCTTGCCTCGGAATTTCCACATCCTTCTCCTCCTCCTGCAGTTAAAAAAAATTAGAATCTTCGAATCATTCCAACAACGAAGGCAACACAAGTTTGCTCCATGCAACTTTTTGGCAAACCACTTGTTTGCATATGCCTTTTCTCTCACTACCCTCCCTCCCTTCTTGTGTCCTTCTCTCCCTACCTCCGTCCTTCTTCTATCCCTCGCTCGCTCCCTCGCTTCCTCGCTCTATCCCTCGCTCGCTCCCTCGGCAAGTAGTGAGGCTACACCATATCTCGCAGCCCTAAAGCCGATTCAGGCCACTAGGCCCGGTCGCGGGACCGGCCCGGGTGGCCCGCCGTGCCACCGTGGGCCCCGGGCCGGCGCGGCGCGGCGCCGGCGCGGCGCGTCCCGGCATGCATACTATGATACAAACTCAGGCTGTTTGGTTCTCGCTGTCTTTTCTCTTCTCGCCGTTTGGCCTGTGCGACAGTGTCAGGGTCAAGCCTCCTCGACTCTCCTGATTGTCCTCGTACTGATTTTTAACTTAACTTTGAGTAAATAAAGGATTATCTAGAAAAACGGTGACAAGTTTGAGCCGCAAAGGAGTTGTCACGTATTGAACCGTTTACTGAATGACTGACTCGGTGCTGGCGCGGCCGTTCAAAGTCAGGAATCATTCCGAGTAGCGGCCGCCCCGCTGAGTGACCCGGTTTCAAGTTTGCTAGGGCTCCTCAGTAGCTCCCGGCAGCTTAGACAGAGCCGATCCACTGCCTGGTACAACAGCACGAGGCCTTCGCATCAAGAGCAAAGCGCAAACCACAGCCACTAGGAAGCACAATGCTGAGAAGAGAGTGATTGCGATCTGCAGCCGCAGCACAACTGTCACTGGGTTGTACGGTCTGCGGTGGAGTACCGTACCTGGGTTTGCAGCTGGATGTTGTACTTCACCATACTGTAGCTGTTCTCGTAACCTGCTCCATTGGGATATGGCCTCCACTATCATCGTTCACGTCAGCCCTTCTGATGCCATGATTCCAAGTTAAACACCTTGCCGTTTACACATATTCGCTGAAAAACTCCCCGGCCTTCTGCACTGTAAGATCTGCAAGCTTGTTCTCCATGAAGACACCTGCCGCAGACCCTCAGCTCGCTATCAGCTGTCAGTCTCCTCTAGCACTCACTCCATGCACTTGCCCTGCTGACAGTAGCCCTGCCACTCGATCACATGCGTCAAGAAGTCGAAGCTGTCAAGGTTTCATGCGTCAGCGCACTCTCTCGGAAATACTGTCAGTACCCTCCGCCTGACAACCACATGCCATCCGCTGTGCAGGTTTGAACGGACTGGAAGTACTTACTCTCCAATTGCTATTCATCCATACCCGTCACCTCTGTATTCGCGCACTGTCAGCTGGCAAGTACCGGGATGCAGACAGACGCTGTCTTGTAGAAGGCTCCGATGGGCAAGGACGCCTCGGCGCACGTGGCAGTGCTGAGCTCGGACCCCGAGGGGCGTCAGAAGGAAATCAAGACGGGGAGCGAGTTTCACCCATCGTTCTTGCACGGGAGCTCCTGACTCTGCTGGAAGGCAGCTGAGTCGAATCTGCCGCAGAAGCGTTTTGAGTTGGTCTCATGTATCATGTACTCGCGGTATGGATAAAAATCTCTTTCAAAGTAGCTGGTGTAGACCTGATCTCTGACGAGATGCAGGGGTAAGTCTTTCAACACTCAGATCCAGCAGGAGCCCTCACTTGTATGTGTAGGATATTACATCCTGACGAATGAGATCGGAGGTGCTGCAAAGCTCTTGGTCAGCCGGAAGCTCTCGTTTCTTGCAGATGCTCTTGACTTTGAGATCCTTGTAGACATCGTAATACATCCTCACTCGTGCTTGAGACTCTTCATCATACTTCGCGCCGGGGTTGCTGAAAGCATACGCAAGCTTGGAGAGGGTGAAGTCATTCGCGCAGTACTCGTCCAAGTCACAGTCACAGTCACTCTCGCACTGAACACACACGCCGATGTACTCGAAGGCTGCTGGAGTTGAAGATGAAGGAGTCAGGCTCTCATCGTTCAGAGGTACTTGCAGATGGGGAAGTTTTTGTCCTTGCAGTTGGCTTGCGTCCTACACTGGTCCTTGCAGTTGGCTTGCGTCCTACACTGGGTGTAGGGAATGGCATCCGCACCTTCAGCTTCTTGTAGCAGCAGCAGCAGCAGCAGCCCAAGGAGGAGGGTGAGGAGAGCGGGGGAAGCGAGAGGGCGCGCGGAGTCGGAGCCCGTCATGAGCAGCTTGTAGCTGGCAGTGCAGTGACTGCTGGGAGATGAAATGGGGGGTGGTCAAAGGTACCACTTAGTCAAGGTGTCGTACTGATTTTTAAGTTAACTTTGAGTAAAGGAACTGGGTCCGTATTGTCCGATTTTTGACTTATTTTTGAGCAAAGAAGTCAAAAGCGTACCGCAACTTCAACCACCGGACCCTACCCCTTCATCTACCATATCTTCCCCTGGGCATCCGACGGGTACAGGGCAGCTAAGAACGGCTCAGCCTGATTCCTGATTGTCCTCGTACTGATTTTTAACTTAACTTTGAGTAAACTACGACTCGGAGTGCTAGCCGTCGCTCAGTGTCACGGTCAGTCCGTCACGCCGCCGCGGCTACGGTCGGTGTGGCCGCGCTCCGATACTATCATAGCCTTGTCACAAGCCTGTTCTTTACTCATAGCCTTGTAGCAGTGGGCCGTAGTACCCGGCAACGCCGGAGGACAATCGCCGGTGGCAGGAGACTGAGGTGAGGAGGCTTCAGTGAACCTGGTGAATCTGACATTTACTCAAACTTCCTGACAGTGTCATACAGGCCATACGGCGAGAAGAGACTCGTACTCGGAAAACTCGGACAGAGAGAACCAACCATAAGCATCATTCGTGATCCGGCAACTTGACTCAGTGATCCGGGACTTGAGTATCAGTAAGGCGCTATTAGTTTCATTGCATTTCATTCTTATCAATTAGGACCTCATCATCTCAATCTCCGCTTCTGAATTATTCGCAAACAGCGGATGACAAGCTTTCACCTCCCCCACCCAGCGCTTGATCAATCCCGCCAGGTGCGAAAGCCTGTCCTCGCTCACAACTCGCAACTTCCTCATGAAAACGATCGACTCTTTGGTGATCTCTTTGTCTATGTCACGATCTGGTTGCGGCTTCTGATACGACGGCGGGAGGAATCTGTTCTTTTGCTGCTGGTAGATCTCGGATGAGACTGGTTCGAAGAGTATAGTGTAGCCGATCTGTATGCCATCGCCATTGAAGTTCTTGTGAAAACAGCACTTGAGGTGCTGCACACGCCTGTCGCCATCCTGCACGCTTCCTCGCATTATCTTGATGTAAAATATTGACTGCGAATCGAAGGAGCACATGATTGAAGACGTCCAGGCAACTAAGAGTTCATACTCGCTCATCGACTTGACCAGGTCATGACAAAAGAAGCGAGACAAGATCTCTGTATGATGACAGCCCAACAGGTTTGACATCTCATCCCCGATCCTTATTCTCTTGCATATCAATCTTGAGTCAAACTCAACTGACAACCATCGCCCATGCCCCCATCGTTCGTTGCATGCGATGCGATCAAAATGTACCTCGCCTTCATCCTCTTCATCCATCTGATTTCCCAACCTCTTTGCATTCTGACAATGTTGAAACTTGCTCAACCGTCCCAGTTCATTCTGATGCTGCAGAATCGACAGATATTCAGGGTTGCGCAAGGAGCTCTTGCTCAAACCCTGTCGAATTAGATCAACCAATTCGTCCACCGCGACTTTGAGGTCCAGGGGAAGGATCTTGAACGCCTTGAAGAGCATTGAGACGTCGAAGCCGAGCTCCCACAGAGGGCGTACAAGCGTGATGTTCACACCGCTGAAGGCACAAGTTTCCTTCAACACGTTGAGCGAAGCTTCTTGCGCACGGACGTCTTGAAAGTAAGCTTCTCGATGATCACAAATGCTTGTGGACAAGCTGACAGTGCGAGCCTCTGTCAGACACTTGTCGCTCGTTCCTGACATGATACACATCACGCAAGGCCGAGCTTCGCTGCACTTGCGCTTCTTCAACTTGCATTCCGCACACGACTTGGCGATGTACTTTGATCTTTTGCTGCGAGGCGCATTATCGCTCCTGGCACCTTCCGCTTTCACTATAGGTAAGGCCACAGCTTCTGACGCTGCGCTGAAATCCGTGACAAGATTTTGTGCCGCATAGCGGTTCACACACGAGAGATTTTCCGCCATCTGCTGACACCACTCGTCGTAATCTAGAGAAAACATCACACATCGAACAATGAGAGTGAAAATGTATCAGCTCATACCAGTCATATGACGTTTTGATCCAACCAGCATTGACATGATGTGTCAAAGGGATATTTTGAAGGGACTGGTGATCAAAGAGTTCTGATTCAGAATGTGAAGTTGCCTGTTACGACCCAGAAGTCAGAAAACATAAGAACAAGATTGAATGGATGCGCCAAGAGCAAGTTCAAGTGGTTTTTCCGTCTGAGAATCTCAGGGAGTGGCTTTCAAAACATCAAGAGACACTACAGGTGGGGGGAAGGGGCGGTGCGTTGGAATTCTGGTTGACAGATGAGTCCCCTCTACAGGTTTGATCAGTCTGAAGCGATGAGGACGAAGGAAACAGAGACAGGAGGAGGCAACTAGATCGACATGGGACGTCCAACTACATGTGCTGCCCTTCTTTCCCCATCGTTGCATATCCTGGTACGAATGCCGCAAGTACCCCACCCTGGCAAAAACCCCACCCAGTAAAACAACAATTATAAAGACTTATAATCGGAGATCCCGACTATGCCCCCTAAGGCATCTTCTAGCACCGGGGGCCTAGGGGAGCATTTATAATTCAGACTAAAAAATTGTAGTCATCGGGTCATACAGATTCCGACTCCGGCTCGGGCCTTTTTTTTTTTACGCTTTCAATTAAAAGCATAGTAGGACTACCAGCGTGATTGTCTTCGTACTGATTTTTAACTTAACTTTGAGTAAAGACCGAGCAGCGGAGTCCGAGGCTTCTTTACTCCCTCACTGGCCACACGGCGAGAAGCGAACACTGCTATCCCCCATTTAGGGGACTATCAGTTGCAGCCCATAAAATTACCTGAAATAAAAAAGATGACCTCTATGCAGTAGTTTTATGTTTATTTATTTGTATATAAATATATATATACGCGTCACGTGACGCGCCAACTTCAGGCCTCCGACTGTCTCAGCCGGCTCAGGCTCAAAGCTCAAGCCCGTGACAACCTTCATGGCTGAAATGAGAGTCAAAGGCTTGGCTTCCGAGTTCGGTTTTAAAGGCCGGCGCCCCCCCCCGGCCCGGCCCTGTGGCCCAAGTTTAGTGGGCAATCATCAATTTCCAATCAACAAATTTTTGGAGTAATCATTTTCCAATCAACGAAAGTTTGCAGTAATCATTTTCCAATCAAGTTCACTGGCCCGGACGCCGGGTCCGGCCGCAGGCCTGGCCCAGCGGGACCGGACTGCCCGCCGGGCCGGGCCCGGGGCCGGGGTCCGGGCTCTACTAGTCACGTGACTCAGGCTACTACGTGACCGTTCGTGCTAAGTGCTCAGCTCGACGATGCCATCGCCGATGAACCGGCCTCATTGCTTGACAAGATTTTAGATCAGCGAGAGGTAGGGAAATTCCTGCGGCGATTCACTGCTTCCTCGGCCCCTGATCCCCTGATCAATTTGGTTGGCGACCATTCCAGCACCTGCGACACATTCTCAGACTGCATGATGATCACAAACAGCGATACATTAACCTCATATTGAAGCCGATCGCGCTGGGAATCCCTTCGGGCGCTTTCCTCGAGGAATACACCAGAGGGGGGCGATTCATTCCTGCTGCCAAGTCAGTGGAAAAGGGCGGAATCCGACCTATTGTGATAGGGGACCTGGAGCGAAGGATTGTGTCTAGCATCTTCTGTCGTTTCTACCGAAAATCTTTGGAGAGCCACTTCACCCTCAGTCACTCTCGGGTCCTGCAATTTTGCGTGGGTCTGGAGGAAGGTTGCCTCAAATTCTGCAAGACCATCGAATGCCTGTTAGGACCCCATTCTTTTGCCAACCCATTCACAGACCAGGGCGAAGGTGAGTCTGATAATTTTGATCCCACGGTAATCATCATGATCGACGCAAGAAATGCCTTCAATGAGATCAGGCTCGCCAACGGCTATTTGACATCCTCCTTGCTCCCGAGCATCGTTGTGAGAACTTTTCCCAAGGAGTCCTTCCGTATGTTCATCAATATTATGGCCAGGAAGGTAAGTTATTTCTGAAACATCAGCGCGAGACTCGGGCTTTTCCGGCCACCACGGGAGTTTCTCAGGGGGACCCCTTGGCGATGGCTCTCTTTGCGCACACCACCTTCCCTTCCCTGGTCAAAGTCGCAGAGACCTTTCCCGACTGTGTCTTCCCGGCCTATGCGGATAACATGGCTGTTATTGGAAAGCTCTCAGTTGCCGCACAGGCCACTGCATCGCTGGTTGATACTTTAAAACAAGAGCTAGGATTGGAGATTCAACCCAGGGATTCGCAGATATTCTCCTCGTCCTGGTGTGAACTTCAATCTAGTCAGCAACAAGCCATCCAAGAGCATATTTGCAGTAGGTACCCGGGCTTGCAGCAGTTTGCCTTCCGCGGCCAGGGGATCATCCTGGGAGGTATCCCGATAGGATCTCAGTCCTTCCAGCAAGAGTTTATCACTGCCAAGGTGAATGCCCTCAATGCTGAATTGACCCAGTTGGAACAATTTCCCATTGCGTTGGGTCTCAAGCATCTCTTGAAAACGACCCACGTTCCCACCCTCCAATATTTCTTGCGTGGAATCTCCCCGGCCTTGACCGCTGCCCAGTGCAAGTGCTTTGACGTCGCGAATCTCCGTCTCCTGGCGAAGGTGTTTCAGTGGCCACAGAACCAGGCACAGGAGGGTTCATCTGTCCTGCAACCTGCCCCTGGCACCCCTCCATCTGACCTTCAGTTCGCCTACTTCAAACGTCAGTTGCCTTATAGTGCTGGAGGAGATGGGTTCACCCCGCAGGAGGGCGTGGCCTACACCGCATTCTGGTCGGCGACTGCCAAGTTTCTCAAATGGGCGGGTGAAATTGCCATCTTCCAGCATTGGACTTTCCCTACACCGCCACTCTTCCACCGGATCAATTCTGACACTGAGCTTCGAATCCGCCAACCGCAGCAAGCGGACGCTGGGGATGTTGTCCCCATGCTTGCTGCCTTCTTGGACACTCACAGGCACTTGATGGAGCAGGGCATCTCGGCGTACACCTCCTTGGCGGAGCTTCCTCAGGCGTGCGACAATGGCTGGATCCCCTCGCCTGAATTATTTGGGACGTCGGGCAGTGCGCTTTTCATCCCCGCCCAGCGGGAGCTCACGGCTCAGTTCCTCTCGGAGTTTCCTCGGTTCCGCAGTATTCGGGCTCACCTTTCAGAGCGCCAGAGATCTTTGTTGGCACACCACTCCAGCTTCTCTACTCCCCTTCGAGTACCAGGCCACCCGGTTGATGAACTTCTGTCTCAGTTTACCCCTCAGCGCACGATTTGGCACTCGACTATGGAAAGTACAAACCTTGGGATCTTTGAGCAGCAGCCCATCAGCTTGGTGGCTGCCGCTGACAAGTTTCTTCATGGATTGCCGGTTGACCTCCCGCCGCACTGCGATCGATGCCATCATCTTCTCCGTCATCCTGGGGGGACCACACACATGGCAACCTGCAGGCACCGCAGCCAGTTATGGACTGATGCGCATGAGAAGTGCAATGCCGTCCTCAGTACCCTCATCAAAGATTCCGGAGTGAGATGCCGCGTCCACGTGCAAGGCGTACCCGGCACCAGGCAAAACGTTTCCCAGCATGGCCCTGAAGATCATCATGTAGGGGACTTTGAACTTCCACAACTGATGGCTACTGGCGGCGGATGGCATGGGTTAATCCTGGAGTTCAGCATGTCACATGTTTTTGACAATGATGGAATACCGGACCTCGCTCGGAGCAAACTGCAAGCGGCAGCACAGCGGAAGATCCGAGGGCATCGTAATGCATATGCTCAGCACGTCCCGCCAAAGGCCTTTCTTCCCATCATCGCCAGCACTGATGGCCTCTTGCAGGACGATGCGTTGCGCTTTCTGTGGTGGCTGGCGGATCGCTCGGCGAACAAGGAAACGGCAGCGCTGGATGGTCTCTCGGCCTCGCAAGATGTTTCAGGTGATCCGACTTGCAAACGCATTCGGTCCAGGATCTTCCGTCAGCTCAAGGCCTCCCTGTCCTACGCTGCCATCATCGCGGGTGCATCCCGGTATGCGTCTCATTCCTTCGGCGGCGGCCACCGCGACATCGCTGGCATGGCCGCGCGGGGGACTTGTCCTGCGCGCCGTTAAGTGAAGGTATCAGTTAAGTTTGGGGGACAGCAGTCGGCAGGTTTAGGTTTGGTTCTCGCTGTCTTTTCTCTTCTCGCCGTTTGGCCTGTGCGACAGTGTCAGGGTCAAGCCTCCTCGACTCTCCTGATTGTCCTCGTACTGATTTTTAACTTAACTTTGAGTAAAGTTCGTGACCGTACGGTGACTCAGCCGCACTGGCGCGGCCGCGCCACGGTGAACCAACTGACTTGAACTGGCAACTCAGTTGAACGCGGCGGCGTGCCGCTGTTTGAACGACTGAGTCGGAACCCCGGGTCCGCCCGCCGGGCCGGGGGCCGGCTGCGCCATCATGCATCGGATCATCGGATCCTGCTCAGACGGTGGCTGCCCGGGCTACGGTATTTTTAACCTCGACTCTCCTGGCAGTGTCCTCGTTCTGATCAAGTTTAACTTAACTTAGAGTAAAGATTTTTAACTTAACTTAGCCTAGAGTAAAGGCCGTGTCAAAAAGGAATGTGACAAGCTCCCAGGCTCAAAACCAGCCTCCGACTCGGAATGAGCGGCTGATTTTTGTGCCAGCCTCCGAAAGTACCCACCCTCTCTAGATGAAATTTGGTTGTGTTGACCCGTTGTGACAGAGGGGAATATGCTTTAAAATCTATTGAATGGTATCTCCCCGTGAGATTGTAATAATATTCCCCTGGTCCGATCTCCCGGACCCCGGACCCTATGGCTGTTGTAGCCTGTGGCGGTCTCGCCTTGGACCCCACCCCCTTATGCTCATTCCTTAGTACAAGGCCACGAGTGGGGGGTTGCTGAAGTTCCCTTCACCACCCACCCCCTGTCACCCCGATACATTGACAACACCCGGCAACTCGGAACTGTCAAGCTTGGACAATGCCGCGTGGTATGGCGATCGTACCTGAGCCGAATATGGGGGCAGCGGATCTGACGATGTCCGACGAGGACGGAAACAACATGAACCCTGCTTTTGAAGTTGACAAGGAGACAGCTCTTGCTTCCCGCACAGAGGAACTGCTCCTGTCGTCGCTGCCTCTAGAGCTTTCGCAGGCCCTGAAGCGATTTGACAGCAACAACGATGGCAAGCTGAGTGGTCAAGAGATCCAGGAGATTTCTCTCGTCCTTCAGAACCTAGAAGCAGGAAGAATTCCGCTATCAGTGTTGCCTGTGGAGATACAAAGAGTCATCTCCACCTCATCTGCAACCATTGAGAAAAGAGGAGCTTCGGGTGAGGCATATGAAATCAAAGACGGAGATCGAGTAGTGAATGCGCAAGAGGTTGCGGATGCTTTCGAGGCTTACAGCAGATTCTTGACAATGAAAACAAGAGGGCAGATCCCCTTCGATGCCTTCCCTGCTAGTGCGCAGCAGCAGCTCCAAATGATCGACATCAATGGGGACGGAGCCCTTGACTCCAACGAGATCCTCGCTGGTGTAGCCGCGCTGAAGAGCGAGAGAGCAAAGTCAAGGCTGTATTCCAACTTCCTCATCATCCTTAGCATCCTCTCTCTTCTCACTCTGGGGGCAGTGTTTGGTCTGACGTATGCGGTGGTGGAAATCACCAAGGAAAGTGAAGTGCATCCAGGGGGAGTTATGACGGTGAAGGGAACAAACGAGCCTGTCCGCGTTGCCTCGACGGAATTCGAGGTCAAAGATGGCATTTTGACATCAAGGACGTCAATTAACACATCCTGTACGAATAATGGCACGTGTACGGCTAACCCCATCCAGACAGCTCAATCTACAATCCCGGCGAAGCTGACTTCGCTGCTCGGCGATGACCAGCTCATCGAGCTGAAGGCTATGAAGATAGTACAAGGAAATTCATTTATACACTTTCAAATCTTTGCTGTGGCACGGTACGAGGAGGTCTGGAGCAGGCACGGCAGTGTGGTGGTAATCTTTACGCATTTAGGCGAAATAACTCTCGATGGCGAAGCAATTTTCTTCCATGAATCGGTGGAAGGAGCGTTTACAAGAGCCGGGTTCAAGGTAGACTCTCATGGTCGGAGGCTTCTCGGAGTGGTGGAGATCCTTGGAATGTTCAATGTTATCAAGATTGCAATCAGACAAAACAATACAGATGGTGCCATGCCGGATCAGCTTCCGGCGTTCCCTCCCATGCAGTACACGGCACATGTTGTTGAAGTAGAGTTCTGCGAGAACGAGGACGGGACATCGACCTACTCGTGTGAAGGTGGTTCGGGGACGACAGTGAACTGGGTGACGAATGAAGATACCAACAGAAGGGGGTTGAGGCTAGAAGAAGATCAGTACAGTCTGATGTTCAATGGCAGGCACTGGGCTAAGACGATTCAGTCGAAGGCGCAATGGCCAGAGCAGCAGCTGATCAAGATTCAAAATGAGACACACAAGCTGACTTACCAGGTCTACAAGGGAAATTCATACTTTTGTGAGATCACGGAAGATCGGTCTCTAGCAGCAACAGTCAACAACAGGAGGGCGCTCGTCAACCCTGCGACGGCATCCGACTTTGAAGTAACCTTCAGAGGGTTCCAGACAGTGAACGGAGTCTACTGCAAGCACTTCGAGATCCAGGCAAGCAAGGACGGAGATAGCGAGGTGTTCCATGTGTACGAAGACTACCAGAGGAAACGGCTGTACCAGTTCGTCCGTGGGAACCTTCGTTGGAGGTTTGAGATCCTGCAACCAATCGAATCAGAAGCATCCAACCCGTTTCCGCTGGAGCAGCTGGACATGCAGGTCATTCAGCAAGCGTGCAATCCGAAGGATGTCATCCCGCCGATGAGACTGGTGGAAGGGTCAGTGACCGATATCATGCTCCCTGATCCTTCTTGGGGACAAGGAATGAACTCGAACTCAACGGCAGACGGAGACTCCTTCTTCTCCGTCGGTTCGAATGTTTCCCGCAGGCTGCTCTATGACAGGGACGAGGACGAGAGAGAAATTTCTTGGAACTTCGTCAAGGAGGATCATCGGCGATCTATGGCCGGAGATCCGGCACTTGATCCAAAGAGCGGGAACGTCTCTTTGAGGTCCTTCTGCTCCTCCATGGGATACTCGCCGCAGGTCTACGGTACCTTCAGCAGCATTAGCGCTGCCAAGCAATCCGCGAGCCAGAGCATCGGATCAGGATCGATCGGTCTCGGGTTTGTCTTCGAGTTATGCAGGGACAACGTTGCCATGTACATCAAGCCGGAGATCGGCTTCGGCTGCCCCAGCTTCGGAGGGGAGATAGATCTCGAGATCAAAGGACTGAGCTCTAATCGGCCCAGCATACGTGCAGCAGGAAGCATCTTCGTCAGCATCAACCCTTGCCGCTGTCCTCCACTGAGGCTTCCTCTCCCCCTCGCTGCCTTCTGTCCTGTCTTGAGCGCCGGCATGTCCATCAACTCAGCGGTCACGCTACAGGAGTACCTCACGTGCTCTGTCGGACGGATCGGGCCCAACCCGCTGATATCCGGCGTGGCAGGGCTGTCAGTCGGACCCTACTGGGCGTCGGTTTACTTCCTCTTGAAGGGATACGCTTACCTAGGGTTCAGATGCGGCTCCCGTCAGCGATCAGGACAGAAGATGAAGATGGGGCATCGGTACGAGTTTCAGGCAAGCGTGAACCTCTTGTGGGCGTCTAAAACTTGGAACGTGGCGATCTATCCCACAGAGCAGGGCTATTGCTCCAACCAGAGGAATCCCATCTCGATGAGGTCCGAGTACATCTTCAAGGAGTACGGCAAGAACGCATTCGCGATGTTTGACTCCGATTACTTCACCTGCCGCTAACGCGTTGCACAATAAAGTGGTTACAATCCGTTAGTAGCTCCTTCAGACTTGTAACAGAACAACTCCGATCCCTGCCACCCAACAAGCATCAAAGGATCGCGCCGGCTTCCATCGCTTGTCTGATGCAGGTCTGGAGGTTGAAACTCATTGAGAGCCACACCTCCACACGCCATGGCAGAGACGAGAAAGCTGACGCTTCTCAAGGCTTGTTGGGAATGATCCAGCGGCAGCTCAGTGACCGTCATGCGTTGGCAGAGCATGAAGCCGCGCTATGCAGAGAGAAACATGCGGGCTGATCCTTCAAGACACTGAAAGATATCAGGAACGACTTCCACAGGTGGTTGAGTGCATCAATGGCTGGAAGACGCTGCCTTTGTATGTGATGCTTTCTTGCTTATCACGGTGACACGGGAACGTGCAACGTGGAGATAGAAGTGCAGCTGGGTCTGATAGTCGCCTCGCATACTGTGGCGGGATGAGATCGTTCCCTCCGGGTGCCGGGGCAATCGAATTGCTGCCCAAGTTCGTATATCAGAAGAGATTTGACAATTTCAGGAAACTGCAGGATATGCGAAGCCTTGCTGAGGCCAACAGGTGGTTTTTCTGTGCCGGAAGTGCTAACGAGTAACCCAACAAGACGGTTGTCGGATCACTGTGGCTATCGAGAAGCCCTTGGAGTAAAACGACAAGCCCGGGCTGCTGGGAAGGAAAGAAGGCACTCTCCAAAGTGTCGCAAGGGCAGGCAGGTCCTACACGTGTCGCAATCACAGTGACGCGAGACTCTGAGGTGAGAAGACCCTCGAGGTGAAGCTCAAGGTGAGAAGGAGAGTTGCCTGTCTCGTCGTGAGCACAAAGTGTGAAAGACTGAGGAATGCGAAGCATGGATTCAATCGATCGATGCTGAAGATGCGACGCACAAGGAGTTGCTGCTTGCAAGATGATGGATTCTAACGTCCGGCGACATCGCTAGAGATCAGACCGGCGACATCGCTAGAGATCTGTGGAATTGTGTTAGCCAGATGATTCCTAGAGGACAGGACGGGCTGATTCGCTCTTCCCTCCCTCTGGCTGCATCAGGTGGAGCTCACGTTTATGATCACGTTTCCTCGCTGATTTATTGCAATCAGAATCTGGAAAACCTCCTGCTTGACCTCAAAGCCTTGACAATGATGGATGCTGAAGGAGAACAAGGGTTTTGTAGTGAGAGGGCGATGCAGGAGGGGAGGGAGGGGACAGCAGCAGCTCTTGTTGTCGCAATCCTCCTCCATGGTCACTTGGTTTTCTCCTTTCCCTGTCTCTCTCCCCTGCTCTCCGTGCACCCTGATTTTCTCCTCTCGTCTCTTTCCCACCTCTGATCCACCTCGTCCGATTGTGCGCAACCGAAGCTGGAAGCAAGACATCTTCATTGTCTTCGACACCCTTTCTTGGTGAGACCTGTTGCTCTGACAAGTGGCTCCTGACGCCTGTGCTGCCAGCAGCGATCGATGGTCAGGGATGAGCTCAAAGAGTGTTTGAACCGCAGGACTTCATCTCCTCCAAGTACTTCAAGTACCTGGCCTCTACAGGTGAAGCTGCTGTTTCCACTGGGATGTTGCATGAGTTGTTTTTGGCCTCAGGCGAGCAGGGAGTCCATGTGAGAATGAAGATGATAGCCGATTGTAATGAAGGTTTCTTCTTCCTCCTGCTCGGACAATCTTGTCTCTCATACCGATGTAGTGCTGGTATCCCGCTGATCAGTTCATCCATGTCACCAGCTCCCCTCTCCGTGTCCTCAGTCGCCCTGACCATCTCAGGTTAGTCATCGAGCACAACTCCTTCCAAGGGCCCGATCGAGTGTGCCTCGAGCGGGGAAGCGACGGCCGGCCTTGCCCTGCTCTGAAACGGTCCTCCTCCCCAACTACATCGTTCTGCCACGAGGCAAGTGTTACTTGCAGTCATCACGAGAGCGACGGGCTCATCTTTGCTCTCAATCTTCCGTTTCATGGCGAGACAGACATCAACAACATGTCGGGACTGAAGACCTCGTGGCGCTCGGATGACGTCATTCGTCAATATCACGTTGGACTTTGAAGTCAGGTATGGCTAGGGCACAGGCATGGACGCGAGAGCGCAAGATAGAGGAAGAGGAAGAGGGAACGAGTCTGTGCTCAGCTTGTGAGGCGATACTCAAGCTCTTGGATTTCCTTCTGATTTTCTTAACGAGGGTCGAGCGAACTCCCTACACGAATATCAGCATCAAGTCGTCCTGCTCCGCGGTACATGTGTCAACCTTCTTCCCTTCCCCCCAGGCTTTGCTGCAGCAGAGCAGATCGGATAGACTTGACGGACTTGACGGATCATAATCAGCTCTGCGAAAGCGTCAGAACTGGTGGGGTCCGGTGCTGAGACGTTGATCTGGGAGGGAGGAAACGTTCCGGCTGCTGGGAGATCTGGGGCACCAGAGCAGCTTGTTGGAACAGACATTTATAACCCTCGATGTTTCACTCGCTCGCAAAGACTCCGCAGATAACTGAGTGGCCGAATAAAGCCTATCGGAGCCTATTGACAGCTGTCAAGACCAAAGAGTTGAGAGTGAGGTTGTCCCTCCTAAAACCCGAGAGGAAGCATAACTTCTTGAGGACTGTCCTTGCCATGATCTTTGACACCGCACTAGGCCTGTGAAAACAACCTCCTCCTCTGAAGTCTCTTCCTCAGATGGACATCCAAGTTCTTGAGTATCTCCTCACGTTCAGAAACCCTGAGGGTGACGAATGGGCGTCGCAAGTCACTTGCGGCTCAGAGCATCTCCATCCTCTGACAAAGCTACTACTGTAGATCGACAAGAAAAGAAGGAAGATTCTCCCAGGAAGCCTTCAAAGCAACGGCAGTCATCACCAGTCGATCGCCACATATCGTCTTCTTCCCGTGACATGTTGGCAATGAAGATGCAGCATGAAACAAGTTCCAGGCAAAGACGATGGCAACCAAGACAGCAGACCGCACGATGCACAAGAGCGGGCCGAGGCGGACATGAAAGGTTGATACGACCAACAAGTTGCGTCCGGTGCTTGACGATGGCAACAGAGCCTTGAGCTTGGCGAAGGCATGAGGGCACGTTTTCCTCCTGGTCTCAATGGAGAATGCGTGGTGTTGGTTAGTCAAACCCGCTGGTGAGACCCATGGTGGTATGTGCTGAGACAAGGCGGTGAGAGGAAGAGCTATCAGGCAAGCCTTGATTCTTCACAGATATATGTATTTTAAAAGGCTCTCCACTGGTCACGTTACCGCTAAGACCAATCACGTTATTTGCGGGCACCACCCTACCCTACCCCTCTCCTTCACTCTCATACATGACTAACGACTCCTCCCCCCCTTCCTTGCTCCTCCTCCCGCCCTCTCATGGCCCTCTCGTCTTCCTCCCCCCCTCCTCCCCTCCTCGTCCTCGTCGCCTGCCTCGACCCCTCTGGTGTCCCTCTCCTCTCCCTTCCCTTCTACTTCTCCTACCCCCTCCCAACCTTCCCCGACCTCCTCTGCTCCGTGCACGCTGCCGTCGCCCAGCGCTGCACGGCCCTCCGGACAGCCTCGCCTGGCTCCTTGACCTACATCGACGAAGACAACGACGAGATCCTCGTCACTTCCGACCACGAGCTCGCCGTTGCTATACGCCACCTCGCCGGCCGGCCCCGCGTCTGCTTGCTCTACAGGCCTCCTGGTGAGGGCCAGCGATAGCCCGAGGATGCGCGGGAGGAGAAGCAAGACGAGGAACATGCCCGGCATGCAACACGAGCATGACGGGCATGCAAGGAGATACGCGTGGAGCTGAGCAGCTGCATGCAGAACGGGTGTGTTAACTCTGAGGGCACGAGGAGGGATCCGACGGAAGAACAAGGCACTTCTAGAGGATGATGGGGGTACTCATAGTCCTATAGTCACGCCATCAGCAGCCTCGCATCGTCTGAGGTGCTAGTTCTTGTTATGATTCAACTTAACTTTGACTAAATTGGTAGTAGTCGATAGTGCTTAGAGCTAAATAGGCACAAGACTTCCGGGTCATCATTGACTTCCATCACTGCCTTCCATTCAACGTCTCTCAGCCACACAAGAGTCGAGGAAGAGGGAGGGAAGGAGGGAGGGAGAGGGAGAGAGACATTGAAGCAGATCTTGCCTAATAGCTCTTCCTTCCTATGCAAACATCACTGTAAACTCACCGCCTTGTCTCAGCACATACCACCATGGGTCTCACCAGCGGGTTTGACTAACCAACACCACGCATTCTCCATTGAGACCAGGAGGAAAACGTGCCCTTATGCCTTCGTCAAGCTCAAGGCTCTGTTGCCATCGTCAAGCACTGGACGCAACTTGTTGGTCGTATCAAGCCTCCACGTCCGCCTCGCTCCTACTATGCAGAATTGGGAGCCTCCGGCCTGTACGAATTGACCTCCCGACAGCGAACCTCACCAATGACAGCTTCGTTGGGTGCAGCCGGGGCAGAGGCACAAGGGCTGTCAGGTAGGAGGGCATGGTGGGCGGTGCAGGCAAGCAGAACATCTGCCGGGTCTCAAGCCTCGCAAGGCCTCGGTCGTGACGGAAGACGTATGGGCTGAGACAAGGATTCTCTTTTAAACAGATGACGATACACGGACCCTACCTAGTCTGTTCCAACATCGACGGGTGTGCTGTCCTTGTGCAGCCGAGGCAGTCTTGATACCTGTATCTCCTTGCATGCCCGTCATGCTCGTGTGAGCCGCTGTGTTGCTGATGCAAGCAGCCGAGACAACTTCATGGCCTGTTACCTGAATTGATGGGGGCAAGCTCGGGCGACCGGCCGGGGCTGCCTGAGCCTAGCACGTATGCCTTGTGCTCGTCTTGCTTCTCCTCCCGCGCATCCTCGGGCTATCGCTGGCCCTCACCAGGAGGCCTGTAGAGCAAGCAGACGCGGGGCCGGCTGGCGAGGTGGCGTATAGCAACGGCGAGCTCGTGGTCGGAAGTGACGAGGATCTCGTCGTTGTCCTCGTCAATGTAGGTCAAGGAGCCAGGCGAGGCTGTCCGGAGGGCCGGGCAGCGCTGGGCGACGGCAGCGTGCACGGAGCAGAGGAGGTCGGGAAGGGTTGGGAGGGGGTAGGAGAAGTAGAAGGGAAGGGAGAGGAGAGGGACACCAGAGGGGTCGAGGCAGGCGACGAGGACGAGGAGGGGAGGAGGGGGGGAGGAAGACGAGAGGGCCATGAGAGGGCGGGAGGAGGAGCAAGAAGAGGGGGGGGCGGGGGGAGACGAGGAGCGAGGGACGACGGAGA